GCGAGGGAGGTGGTAAGGAGGAGGAGGAGGAGGAGGAGGCGCTGGTGCTGGTGCTCGGCGTGGCGGTGGACGGCCGCTTCGTCGCCACCCATGTCAGCGACGACCGCTACATCCCCGTCGCGCACGACGCGCTCCTTCACGCGCCACCGCACGCCAACCCGTACTCCATAGTGAGTTTCTCGATAATTCGACTGACCGTGGTAGCACGAGGTGCGCACACGTGCCCCCCAAAGCCCCCCCACCCGCTCCTTCTTATCCTGGTGAGCGAGGCGTGACACGTGTTGCATGCCTTGTGTCGCGCTGCTGGTGTGAGGCCGCGGGTTAGGTATGAGCGGTTAGGGTTGAGCGGTGATTGGTGAGCGGTGATGGGTGAAGCCATGGGGCGCGGTAAGGCAGCAGACGGGAGGATCGCGGGACGGCGCACGTGGCGGCACGGCCGCAGAGCGACTAGACTCGCTTTCCTTCCCCGCCTGGCTGGCACCTGTCCCTCACCCACCCCGTCTGATCTCCCCTCGTCGCCCCTATCTGCGTGCTCTCTGTGTGCCCTGTGCTGTGCCGTGCGCCCCCCCAGGCACATGGGAACACCATGGTGCTGCTCCTGCACCAACTCGTGCCGCACTCCCACCACCACCACCATCATCACCTGCAGCAGCAGCAGCAGCAACGGCACTCCCCTCCGGCCTGCATGACGCTGTGCGCGTCTGGCCATGCGAAACGCCAGCAGCGATGCCTGTCTCTGGACGGCTGCTCGCCGTCCCCCCTCGACCCGACGTCGGCCGTACACACCGTCACGCTCTCTCTCCCTCGCTCCGCCACCCCGCACAGGGAGCAGTCGCCCCTCATGCATGGCGCAACCCGCGCTGACACGTCCTCTCAACCATCCTCTCCGATCCTGTCACCACCACCAGCAGCAGCACCAGCAGCAGGAGCGTCAGCAGCGGCAGGAGCAGCATCCTCTCGGGTAACAGCAGTGCTTGTGGCTCGGACGTTCCCAGGAGTGCTGGACCGAGGCAAGGGTTATGCTCTCCTCTCCTCCGTACTCGCCAACAACGCAGCAGCCGCAGCAGCAAGCACAGCAGCTACCCCCATGCGCAAAGACCCACTATCATCCGCTCCGTTACAAGCAGAACTGCACCTCAAAGCGCTGGCCACGCCCCTGCGCGCGCCGGCGGCAGAGGAGGAGCCGCTGTTGCTATACCCGGACGCCCCCAGGGCGTACCTGGTGCAGCCCGCCGGGCCTGGCCCCGAGGTGGAGGCGGAGATGCGCGAGATGAAGGAGCAGTCGATGCGGCAGCTGGAGGACGAGCTGGACCTCATCAACGAGCTCATCTGCCAGGAGGAGGAGCAGGGAAAGCACGCGGCCGCAAAGCCGGGGGGTGTTGCTGCTGGCGGGAAGGCCACGGGAGGTGCTGTGTCGTCTGTGTCTGCTGGGACCGGTGCTCGGGTTGCAAACCGGGAAGCAGCGGGTGTTGGGTCGATTCCAGGTGCTCCGAGTTTTTACTCCGCGTCTCCAATAGGTGCGTCAGCGGTATCAGCAGCTTCGCCTGCAGCGGCGGCGGCGGCGGGGACAGCTGAAGCAGGCACAGGAGCAGGCGTCGCAGCGGCAGCAGTAGGGGGAGCACAGGCAATGAAGGCAGACGCAGGTATGTGGGCTGGACTGAAACGAACCGTGCCCAGTTTCTTAGGGGGGCTGGGAGGAAGAGAGCCAAGGACAGCAGCAGCAGCAGGAGTGAGCGGAGTGAGCTGGTCAGCGGAGAAGCGGCGAGCGCGCAGTGCGGAGATTCAAGCGCTGGTGCCCTCCTCTGCTCCCCTCTCCCACACCCACACCTCCACCCAGTCATGGGCCCTTGCCGAATCACACGCTGCTGCGGCTGCGGCTGCTGCTGCTGCCACTGTTACGAGTGCAGGCAGCGGGAGGACGGGCCCTCAGTGCCATTCCTTTCAGCAGGTGCGGAGTGGGGAGTATGTGGGCAAGAGTGTAGGGGAAGGCGGGCATGGCGCGCCGGGATTGCAGGGGGTGCAGGGGGGTCCGGTGCAGGCAGCAGCGGGGGGAAGGAGGGGCTGGTCTGTGGATTTCTGTCAGACGCAGCACCACTCTCAACCACACAGTTATCAGCAGCAGCATGGGCGTCATGACGACCCCACTTTGTGCTCGCACCCCTTACAGCCGCTACTGCCAGAGCAGCAGCAGGGGGAGGAGGCGGAGGGAGCAGTACTGGGAGCAGCAGGAGGAAGAGCACCCTCGGAGATGGCTCCATCGGCGGCCATGTGGGACAGCTCTGCTCTGCAGTGCCGATCCCTCGGCTCCAAAGCTAGTTCCGATATTTTCCCCAAACGGCTGGGGGGCGAGTGGGGCAAAGTCCTGAGAAAAGGATGGTCCGCGGAGTACCCGCCTGGCGCCACTGCTATGCTGGCTGCTGCTGCTGCGGTTGACAGCACCACAGCTGCTGCTGACAGCACGGGCGTGGTGGTGGGTAGTGCTACAATGCCTGCACTCGCTGCTGCCGCCGCCGCTGCTGCTGCGGCGGCTGATAGCCATGGTTTGGAGAACCAGGACCCGAAACTGCTCTCACGCCCCTCCCATCCCCATGCCCACCTCCACCCCCTCCACCACCCCACCCCCACCTCCCCCGGCTGGTCCCACCACCTGAGCCGCTCCCTCAAGCTTAACCCGGACCTCTCCCGCGTCTCCCCAGCCGAAACCTTCCCCTCCGCTGCCCCCCCTCGCGCCTCCGTGTCCTTCTGCGCCTATCCCGCCTCGTCCTCCTCTGCAGAGCCCGTTCGCCCTGCTGCTGGCGGGTCCGTTGCTGGTACCGAAAGGCTGGCTGCAACTGCTGCTGCTGCTGCTGCCGCTGCAGCAAGAGCGGCGCCCAGAGTGGGCGTGGAAGGGGGTGAGGGGAAGGAGCAGAGCTCAGGAGAGGTGCGGCGGCAGCTTGGGGAGCTGATCTCTCGATGGGCCGAGGGACCGCTGGCTGCTGCCGCTGCACTGGGAGGCTGGAGGAGAGGCGGGGAGAGCAGTGCGGGGAGAACAGGGCGGGAGGGGTACGAGGAGATGGGCGCGGATGGGGAGGAGGCGAGGGGGAGGAGAGGGAATTCGGGGTCTATGTTTGGATTGTCTGCGCTGGAGCTGCTGGGGGGGGGTGGGGGGTCAAGGAGGCTGAGAGCGGAAGGGGGTGGCGGCAGCAATGGTGTGTATCAGTCCTCTCACGCCAAGAAACAGGCTGTGTGTGAGATAACAGAGGAGGTTAGCGGAGGCAGCAGAAGCGAAGCAGCAGCGGTGGCAGCAGAGGCGGCAGCAGCGGCGGCAGCGTGTTCGGTGCTGACGGCTGCAATGAGGGGAGTGCAGCCAGACCTGCACGTGATACTGCCCAACACAACCCACAGTGCGCAGCAGCAGCAGCAGCAGCAGCAGCAGCAGCACCACGTGGGTGCAGAGTCGGATAGGGCGATGGCAGCGGAGATCCACTCGCTGCTGACAGGCCTGCAGGAGCAGAGGCGAGGCAAGGCACAGCTCACACAGTACCACCCCGGACTCACACCGGGGGGCTCGGACGCACATGCAGGGGAGGGGGCGGGGAGCGGAGTGGTTGACGGGGTGAAGGATGGAGCGGTGCACATAGAGATGGGAGAGGAGCACACGTGCGATGTGCCTGGGATGCAGGATACCTGCCACAAGGTATGCATGCGCAAGTGCTCAAGCATGTTGCTGTTCTGGTCCTGGATCAGTCCGGCTCTAGTCTTCTTCTCTCCACGGCCCACCGCAACCCACCACTGCCCACCACATCTCCCTCTCTGCGGATTGCTCTTCCCCTGCTTGCTCATTGCACCCCGCCCCCAGCATGCCCTCCCACGCTTGCCCCAGAAACCATACCCGCTATTCCTCTGAGGCTTCTCCTGTTCTCACGCGGTTCCTCTACGCGTCCTTTCCTGCTGCCAGAACCCCCTTGTTGCAGGTCCGTGTTCGCTGCTATCTTCTCGCTTGGGGATATTCTACAAGGTACGCACATGCGCGCATGCGCATGCCCTAGTGCTCATGCTCCCACTTGTGCTGCTGCTCGAACCCGTATCAACCACGAATGCTGAACTGTGGTGGCATTCGATCCCTCTCGTCACCGCACAAACACACTGTCGCCTGTTGTCGAATGAGCACGCGCCATTGTACCTGATGCCATTTCTCTTGACACTGCGAATTTGTTTGTTATGCGCTTTTTCCGCCGCAGTGCGCCATCGTCATCTTCCTGATAAGCATTATAGTTTGCGCCTGCTTCTTCATTGGCTGGATTGTACACTGCCATGGGATCACCTGCAATAAGTAACATCCCCAATGTGCTGCATCAGGCCCTGCTCTATCTCTCGGCTCCTCCCTAGTTTATGCCCATGGGTAATGTTTCTTTCTTTACCTAGGTTTAGTTTATCACTTTTACAGAGTGGTAATGTTCATGTTTTGATGTTACTCAGCGGTACAGAATGGTCAGTTTTAACTTTAAAACGGTTGAGAGGTTTGTGCCTCCGTAGTTTGTCTTCAGGTTACCAAGCCGCCGTTTATGCACGTGCTGAAGTCTGGAAATCGAAGGGGCGTGGTTTGGCATGAATGGCTGGCGAGTGATGCGACAAACAAATGCTGGCGAAACTCCATGGCAAGCGTTGCGACTGTCGCTAAATATGAATCAGGTATGGCACACGAGGAGACACGAGGACTCGGAAGATTTCCGCGGATGATGACGAGAGGGCCAAGGGCAGAAAGTCGGCTGGACAGGGGGGTTTCATGGGAAGAATGACATCAAGGCGGGAAGGGGGGGGGGGGGGAGCATGTCAACTTATACATATCATGCATGTAGAAGTATAGGCTAGTATCGGTGTGTGCTCTTAGTGAGTATATGTAATTTTTTGAAAGCGTGTAACACTTTCTAAAAAATGTGTATTGTGAAAGTGTAGCGAGGGCCAACGCAGCAAGGTCAGCGTCGAAGCGCTACTCACCCTCTTTTGCCTACAAAAGAGGGACGTGAGGCCATTCGACCTCACCCACGTTCTTCATTTCTAGTTCCAGTTTCGTTTTCCAGTTCTCGTCCTAGTTCTAGTCTCTTTATTCTCGCCCAAGCTGGCGAAAACCCAGTCTCTTCCGCGCTTCAAAGCTCCGACAACGCTCCTCACCGACATTCTGCAGCACAATATTACCGCGATGACTTCCGCCAATTCTGCTCCGGCTCGCGCGGTGAATAACATTTCTACCCCCGCTAACGCCCAGGCGCTCGGAACTTCGCCCGGGGGAACCGACCGACGTCAGAAACGTCCTGCTGAGGACAATTTTGGCGAGGGCCCCTCGGCAGTCGAGATTCTGCTCGGCGGCAGTCACGCTGCTCCAGAAGAAACTCGCGCGGCTGCGGAAGTCCACGCGCCAGCCCGAGGTGTGTCGCCTGCAGGCCAGGCGGGCCCCACCACCCAGCACGCGCCTGCCGCCGACCCCGCGCCAACCGCCGCCGCCCCCGCCTTGACTGCGCACCAGCTGCAAGCGCTTTTGGCGCTGTTACAGCAGCAAGCTCCTGCTGTTACAGTCGGAACCTCATCCGATAACGCTGCACCTACGACCAATTTTAACAAAAAGAAAGAAATGGCTACCCATCCTCGCGCGCCCAAGGCTCCCCGCGCCGACGACCAGCCCCCGGCACCAACTCCCGCACCCGCTGACAACCCCGATGACATCGACGACTCCGAAAATGACGATGGTGAGGGTCCCGCCAACATTGCTCGTCGTCGCATCCTCGCACCCGCCCCCCCCCTTCCCCCCCTTGGCCCCACGCCTGCAGCTACTACCTTCATGCGCAAGGGCGTACGCGACCAGGCCGAGGTCTTCACTGCCATCGAAGCGTACCTGAAGCATATCGACTTCAAGCTGCATCACGGCGACGTCGTCGGCGCACTCAACAACGTAAAGGATATCGAAATACTTATTGATAAGCGTTTCCAAGTCCTTCTCGTTGCGGACGAAGCCGGTTTCGAGGCCGCCGACCGGTTCCAGCTCTATCAGTCCAAAAGTGTCCTGACATCCCGCTCCTACAAGCTGGCGGTCGCGGATGTGGCAGCGCTCAAGCGTGCACGCCTCGGCTATACGCGCGGCGGCCGTCCCGGTGGTCGCGACATGGACTCGGACATCAAGGGCTCCCCCCCTGCTACGTGCCAGCAGCCGCGCTTCAAGGGAGTCTGCTTTCGCTGTGGCCAACCAGGCCACATGGCCAATGCATGCCACATGGGAGGGCGTAGTGCGCAAGGTCCCTCACCGGTGGTGTGAGCGGTTGATAGGGCGGCGCCCTTTCCCACATGCAAGAGGCATAGTGGGTTGCACGGTAGGTGCATGGCCGGTGGCCAGCCTTTTGCCAAAGGCAAGGAGTCTTCGCTGACTAGGGTGGCCCTTGGGGACAGCAAAGGCTGATAGGCCTAGGCTTGTAATAATTCCTATGATTGAATTAAAGGCTCGACCGTGTCACGGCCATCCGTTTTTTTTCAAAAAAAAAAAAAAAAAAAAAAAAAACCCTTGAGGGGGTTGGGGGGAGGGAGGGGGCTACAAAACCCAGTCAACATGGCTGGTCAGCCTTGAGCATGGCCTCCGACCCCTCACTTTTTTCTTTGCCGACCACGCAACACGCCCCGAGAGCTAACCATGGAGGCACGCTCGGCACCCAACAAAATGGTGCGCACGCACGCACTCGGAGATGCACTATTTAAGAGCCAAGGACAGAGTCTAGGAGCTCAAAGCTAACACAAAGAGTGGCCCAAACAAGGAGAGCAAAAGAAGGAGGAGGAAGAAATGTAAGCCAACCACCAACGAGCACCAACGCGCTTAAAAAATGTTCACGTACGAACACAGCATGTGATGTCTTCGCACGCAAAGGAAAGAGGGAAAGAGGGAGATCAAGAGATGGAGAGAGAGAGAAATAGCAAGCGAGAGAGAGAAAGAGAGAGAGAGAGAGAGAGAGAGAGGAGAGAGAGAGAGAGAGAGAGAGAGAGAGAGAGAGAGAGAGAGAGAGGGAGAGAGAGAGAGAGAGAGAGAGAGGGAGGGAGAGAGAGAGAGAGAGAGAGAGAGAGAGAGAGAGAGAGAGAGAGAGAGAGAGAGAGAGGGAGTCAAAGAAAGTGAGAGAGAGCAAGAGCGAGGGAGAGAGAGAGAGAGAGAGAGAGAGAGAGAGAGAGAGAGAGAGAGAGAGAGAGAGAGAGAGAGAGAGAGTGAGAGAGAGAGAGAGAAAGAGGGAGAGAGTGAGAGAGAGAGGGGGAGAGAGAGAGAGAGAAAGAGGGAGGAGAGAGAGAGAGAGAGAGAGAGAGAGAGAGAGAGAGAGAGAGAGAGAGAGAGAGAGGGAAAGAGATAGAGAGAGAGAGAGAGAGCGACAGAGAAAGAGAAGGCGGATAGAGAGACGAGTACCCCTTGCACCTTGCAAGCACCTAACACGGCAGTGGCCGTGCGGTCCGAGCATGTCATGCCCCGTCTACACTTGCCCCGCATCGTGCACCTGCTCACGAGCACAGTATCTTACTCCCATCTATGAACCCATGTTTATAACCTCGGATAATGCAGAGATCCCAAGTGGGTGGCCACGAGAGGAATGCGATCCCTACGAGCTCGCAACTACAGACAGGGACGTGACCATCATGCGCAGTCGACTGCGGCATGCCTTGCACTGGTGGTGCTCCTGGTGCGACAGTAGCTTTATCCTCTCCGTCATCGCTAAAGGGTATTGGCTGCCCTGGAAGAATACAGCCCCCACACCCTTCGAGGACAACAACCATGCCGGAGTCTGCACGCACCTCAACTTTACTCGCGTCACAATTCGCGATCTTGTAGTGACCGGCGCTGCTGCAGTGATCGAGAGGAGAGACACACTAACATGTGTCAGCCCACTGAATGTCGTGAAGCAACGCGACAAATGCCGCCTCATCCTTGACCTGCGGAAAGTGAACACCCACCTTGAAGCCCCCAAGTTCAAGTACGAGGGTCTGAATCGTGTGGCCGAGCTCATCCGCCGAGATGACTGGATGTTTTCCATCGACTTGAAATCTGGATACCATCATGTCGAGATTCACCCTTCGTGTTGGCAGTTTTTGGGCTTCCAGTTCGAAGGCATCTACTACTCCTTTTGGTCACTGCCGTTCGGCCTTGCAACTGCTCCATTCGTTTTCACCCAACTAATTAAACAACTTGCCAAGCGATGGCGGGCAAGCGGCGTTCGAGTGGTCCCGTATGTCGACGACCTATTATTTCTCTGCGATTCCCACCAGCAAGCGTGCTCGACTCGTACGACAGTCCTCCAGGACCTTAACGCAGCTGGCTTCGTCATTAACGGCAAAAAATCGCACCTCCACCCCTCGCATCAGCTTCGCTTCCTCGGATTGGAAATCGACTCCACCCGCGGCACTTTCTCCGTCGGACTCGAGCGAAGGGCTCAACTCTTAACCACGCTTGAGGCCTTGATAACCCAAGGACAATCAGGAAGGCATATTCCCGTTCGATCCCTCGCAAGAGTTACAGGCATGCTCGCCTCTATGGCCCTAGCACTGGGCGCGACGGCACGAGCATTCAGCCACGAACTCCTGCGACTTATTGCCGACGCAACGTCCTGGCACTCCAAGGTCCTCCTGCACCCGGCAGCGGTGGACGAGCTATGTTTCTGGCTGGCGCAATTCGATAAATTTAACGGCGCCCCATTTCATCTCAGTCACCAGTTCGACGCCGTCATCCACGTGGATGCAAGCGCCCACAGTTGGGGCACCATCCTCGCGCCGCTCCCTGGGATCCCAATAGAAGCAAGCTCCCGCATGCCAGAAGACCTCCTACACACTTCCAGCACCCGAAGGGAACTCGAAGGTGTACTGTGGGCACTAAGAACCTTTGACACCCACACCTCCAAACGGCACGTGTTAGTTCGTGTGGACAACTAGGGGGTTGTATTCATACTGCACTCACACTACTTTGCCAGGCGATCATCGACCTTTGCTTAAAAAACCGAACACGCCTTGCCATCGAATGGATTCCCCGGGAGCTGAACGCGCACGCCGACGAACTCTCCAAAGTCCAGGACCGAGATGATTACTCACTCAAATCCCCATGGTTCCGACTCCTCGACCGCCGCCTGGGGCCTCACTCTGTCGACCTATTCGCGAATGTTCACAACGCTCAACTGGGGCGCTTCTGCTCCAAGATTCCTCACCCCAAGGCCACAGCAGTTGACGCCTTCTCGTTCAGCTGGCATGATGAACGCGGCTTCGCGTTTCCCCCCCCCCACCTCATCCCGGCTACTCTGCGCCATGCCCAACGCACCCACGCCGAGTTGACGTTGGTCATTCCCGAGTGGCCAGGAGCCTCTTGGTGGCCCCTACTGCAGCCAGCACCACGAACCTGGGCACGAGAAGTAAAGGCACATATTCCCCTCACTCAAGGCAGCCAATGCCTATCCCCAGGCACACACTCACTCGCCTTTGCTAGTCTCGGTTTTCCCAATAGCCCAATCATTGCGTTGCATGTGACATATAAAATATAACCCCACCTTGCCTGGGCTCTCTGTATTTCAGGCTTATTATCAAAACTACAGACACAGCTACTTCGGGTAATCAGTCATGTCCGCGCGCCATCCACCATAAGGACCTACGAGCCGTATTGGCTCAAGTTCCGCTCCTTTTGCACGAAGGTCAAGCTGAGCTGCCTGCCTGCCACAGACACCACTCTAGCGCTCTACCTTGTCTATGCCCTCAACAATCAGGCCACAGTATCCGCCATATCCCTTACGTGCTCCGCCGTCGCATTTGCTCATCGGATGACCGGAGAACCCTCTCCCACTAGTGGGCCTTTCACTTCACAAGTTCGTGAATTCTCCAAACGCCACGGCCCGTGCACCACCAGGACGAAGGAACCCTTGTTGCTCCACCAGGTGCACGCTATGGCACACCCCTTCCGTGAGTCGAGCAGCCCGGCAGAATATCAGAAAGGACTGATCCCACTCCTCATGTTCGCGGCATTCCTCCGCTACTCCGACCTCGTCTCCATCCAGTGGAACGACATCCACTTCGACGAGGAGTCTATGTGGATCCTAATCCCGCACTCCAAGACGGACCAAGACGACAAGGGCTCATGGATCCCAGTTGCTCCCACAACTGGGCCTTACTGCCCAGTCCATTGCACCCAGCGGTTTCTGCAACTCGCGGGACACCCCACCACCCCGCATGGACCACTGATCCGTGTCTTTGGCACCAGCGGCAGGGCAACCCCTCACGACAGCGCTCCGTCATACACAACCATCCGCAACTGGTGCCTCGAAGCCTTCGCCAAGGCTGGGCTTGACAACAGACACCTCGGCACTCACTCCTTCCGCAAGGGCGCCGCAACTGCGGCAGCTAACTTGGGGATCCCTGACCGGCTCTTCAAGCGACTCGGTCGCTGGCGCAACGATACGGCCAAAGATCTCTACGTCACCATTGCGCAGGACCAGCTCCTTGCGGCATCCACACGCATCCAAGACGCGTCCGCCGCTCCATCGCCCAGACATCACCAGCTCTCCATCGAGCGACACCGCCAGCCCCTGCTTCACATGCCTCAGAAGACCCATATGAAATGAAGCACGCTGCCTTTGCCAAGGTGACCCAAGCAAGCTTTCACAATATGTAATTTTTTGAAAGCGTGTAACACTTTCTAAAAAATGTGTATTGTGAAAGTGTAGCGAGGGCCAACGCAGCAAGGTCAGCGTCGAAGCGCTACTCACCCTCTTTTGCCTACAAAAGAGGGACGTGAGGCCATTCGACCTCACCCACGTTCTTCATTTCTAGTTCCAGTTTCGTTTTCCCCACCCACCCACCCTATTGGACGGTGTAGTCTATTGGACGAGAACCATGTACTGTAGCCCATATGAAATGAAGCACGCTGCCTTTGCCAAGGTGACCCAAGCAAGCTTTCACAATAACCCAACTGCTATATGTTCCCTGTTTCCCCTCAAGTAATTCATTCACGTATTATAACATGGTATCGAGTAGGTTAGGTTCACCCGCCCGCTTCCGCCCGCGCCCTAGTCTCTCGTCCGCCCCTAGCTGGCCCCCTGGCCGTCGCGTCCGCCCCTAGCTGGCCCCCTGGCCGTCGCGTCCGCCCCTAGCTGGCCCCCCTGGCCGTCGCGTTCGCCCCTAGTCAGCCCCTTGGCTGTCGCGTCCGCCCCTAGTCAGCCCCCTGGCCGTCGCGTCCGCCCCTAGCCGGCCCCCTGGCCGTCGTGTCTGCCCCTAGCTGGCCCCTTGGCCGTCGCATCCGCCCCTAGTCGGCCCCCTGGCCGTCGCGTCCGCCCTCAGCTGGCCCCCTGGCCGTCACGTCCGCCCCTAGTCGGCCCCCTGGCCGTCGCGTCCGCCCCTAGCTGGCCCCCTGGCCGTCGCGTCCGCCATCAGCTGGCCCCCTGGCCGTCGCGTCCGCCCCTAGTCGGCCCCCTGGCCGTGGCGTCCGCCCCTAGCTGGCCCCCCTGGCCGTCGCGTTCGCCCCTAGTCGGCCCCTTGGCCGTCGCGTCCGCCCCTAGTCGGCCCCCTGGCCGTCGCGTCCGCCCCTAGCCGGCCCCCTGGCCGTCGCGTCCGCCCCTAGCTGGCCCCTTGGCCGTCGCGTCCGCCCCTAGTCGGCCCCCTGGCCGTCGCGTCCGCCCTCAGCTGGCCCCCTGGCCGTCGCGTCCGCCCCTAGTCGGCCCCCTGGCCGTCGCGTCTGCCCCTAGCTGGCCCCCCTGGCCGTCGCGACCGCCCCTAGCCGGCCCCCTGGCCGTCGCGTCCGCCCCTAGCTGGCCCCTTGGCCGTCGCGTCCGCCCCTAGTCGGCCCCCTGGCTGTCGCGTCCGCCCTCAGCTGGCCCCCTGGCCATCGCGTCCGCCCCTAGTCGGCCCCCTGGCCGTCGCGTCTGCCCCTAGCTGGCCCCCTGGCCGTCGCGTCCGCCCTCAGCTGGCCCCCTGGCCGTCGCGTCCGCCCCTAGTTGGCCCCCTGGCCGTCGCGTCCGCCCCTAGCTGCCCCCCCTGGCCGTCGCAATCGCCCCTAGCCGGCCCCTTGGTCGTCGCGTCCGCCCCTAGCTGGCCCCTTGGCCGTTTGCGCCCGCTCCTAGCCGGCCCCCTGGCCGTTCGCGCCCGCCCCTAGCTGGCCCCACTGGCCGTCGCGCCCGCTCCTAGCTGGCCCCCCTTGGCCCCACGCGCCCGATCCTGGCCGGCACAGTGACCGTCGAGCTCGCTCCTAGCCGGCCCCAGTAGCGCTCGCCTGGCCCCTCCTCGCGCCCGCCCGGCCCCCAGTCGCGCCTGCCCGGCCGCCCCGCGCGTGCTCGGCCCCTCCTAGCGCCAGCCCGGTCCCAGTGCGACCGCCCGGCCCCTCCTCCTGCCCGCCCGGCCCCTTCTCGTGCCTGCTTGGCCTGCCGTGCCACCTCGGGCCCCGTGTCCTCTGCTAGCCCGTGCTGGGGCGCCCCTGCAGCCGCCCTACTGGAGAGTGCTGCCGCCGTGTCCCCGTGCCGCTGTGCTCCTGCCGAGCTGTGGAGCTGTGCCGTTGTGTCGCTGAAGAGGTGTGTCGCTGACCCTGCATGATGGCTGACTTCGTGCTCCGCCTGGACGCCGAGGGCCACGCGGTTGACTTCACCGCCTGGCTCTCCGATCTCCGCCGTCAGCTTACAGATCAGCACCAGGATGGACACTCGCTGGTTGTCCATGCTGATGGCTTGCTCCCCCGCCCCCCTGCACCTGCTCCCCTCTGTGCTGACCCCACCTCCGCTGAGAGTGAGGCTTTCTCTACTGCTGCGCTTGCCTGTGTGGTCTGGGACTCACGCGATGCAGCAGCTCAGGTTGCTATCAGTCATGCCCTCCCTGTGTCTGAGCGCTCGCGTTTCGCTACGGTTGATACGGCCAAAGCGTATTTAGACGCTGTTGTTGCTCGCTATTCCACGCCTGCATCCGCTTCTGCCGGCCGCTTGCTCTTCCCGATGCTGTTCCCAGACCTTGCTGCCTTCCCTACTGTTGCAGACTTTGCCACTCACTTGCGTGCCCTAGAGTCTCGCTATCGCACTGCCAGCACTGCTGCCCAGCTCACTGCTCTCCCCCCCCCATTCTGCATGACCCTCTATTTTATCACCATGCGCCAGCCGGACTGCCTAGCTAGTGCCCGCGACCGCTTCCTTAGCCAGCACCCAGATGACCTTACCCTGACCGCCTTTGTTGACACCCTCACCGAGATCGAGACTCGCCAGCGCACTATCGCTCAGTCGAGCGGTGCGCCGGCAGTCTCTATCTTCCACGGCTGTGCCCCCTCCCAGTGCACGTTTACTGACGTTTCGGCTGCGGTCGCCACTGCGACCCCTCTTACCGAGACGACAGCTGCGGTCCACCCGCAACAGCGTCGCGCCGCGGTGGCCGTGGCCGCCAGGGAGGTCGTGGTGGTGGCACTAGTGGTGGTGGTAGTGGTGGTGGTGACGGTAGTCCACCTGAGGGGACTACCACCGGTGGGCAGGAGCAGTCGTAGTCGCCTTCGCAGCTGGAGCAGCCCCAGCAGCAGCCGCCGCCGTCCCAGCAGCAGCCGCCGCAGCCGTGGGCTCGTCTCCCGCCTGGTTGGCCCGGCACCTCCGGAGGTGGTGGCCGTGGTGGTGGCCCGTGCAGCTTGGCGTCTACCGGCAGCTCCGGTGCTGTGACCTGCCAGTACCAGCTTCAGACCGGGCCTCTCCGCGGCACTCTGTGCCGCCGCCCGCTGTTTCCGCCGCCTCGACGATCTCTTTCGTCATCGCTTTGGCCCGGCCCCGGACCTCCCCGACTGGCACAGCCTGCTTCGCCAGGGCGTACCGATCATTGAGTTAGATGTGGATCAGATATGTGCTGCTTTGCATGCCTTGTATGCTGACGCTTCTAGTGTTGCTGGATCTTATTACCCTGTGTACTCTAGTTTAGGTGTAGCACCCTTGTGTTGCTTAGCTTCCCCTGCTGCGTCAGGCGTAGGACTGCCTAGGTTGCCTAGCCTCGTTCCTGCACCAGCATCTGCCTCGTTGTCCTTCACTCTCGACTCCGGTGCTTCTGCCTGTTTCTTCCGCGACCGCTCCACGCTCACGCCGCTTGCCGCGCCTGCTGTTGTCGCTCCCGCTGACCCCTCTGCGGGTCCTGTCGTCGCTCGCACCTCTATTTCCCTTCCCTGTCCAGCCGTCCCCTCGGACTCCCTTACAGGCCTTCACGTTCCCTCGTTCTCGAGGAACCTGGTTGGTGTCGGCTGTCTTCAGGACCTCGGCGTCACAAAGACGTTCCCTGCGCATGAGCGGTTCGCTGTCTGTACTGAGGCTGTCTCAGGTTCCCCCCTTGCGACGTTCCCCCGGGACCCGATGTCCAGTCTGTTTACCCTCGACACCGCTCCCCCCCCCGGTTGGTGCGTCCTCCCAAGTCGCTGCAGCGTGCGCGTGTCGGTCTCTCACTCACCCGTCCCTTTTGTGGCACCACCGCCTAGGTCACCCTGCACTCCCACGTTTGCGTCACATGTCTCAGCACGGTCTTGTCTTAGGCCTCCCCGCGTCGCTCCCCGCCCTTCCCCTCTCGCCTGCTCCACCGTGCACGCCCTGCGTCGAGGGCCGGCTCCGCCGTGCCCCTCACTCCTCCTCGATTCGCCCTGCTACTGCTCCCCTTCAGACCCTGCACCTGGACGTTTGGGGCCCAGCCCCCGTCCGCGGACCGCGTGGCGAGCGCTACTTTCTTGTGCTCGTCGACGACTACACGCGCTACACGCTGAGGAGCCAGTAGAGTCCAGTTGCCCCTACGCAGAGCTGGTGGGTTGCCTCATGTACCTGATGACTTGCACTCGCCCAGATCTCACATACCCTCTCTGCATCCTGGCTCGCTTTGTGGCCACTGGCAGACACCGACCACAGCACTGGTCGCCCGCTAAGAGGGTTTTGCGATATCTATCAAGTACATCGGGCATGGAGTTAGTGCTAGGAGGACGCAGGCCGGTGGTCCTCACAGGGCACACAGACGCTTCTTGGGCAGACAACTCTGAGACGCTCAGGTCGTCTCAGGGCTACTATTTTAGCCTTGGCTCGGGTGCTATCTCTTGGAGATCCACTCGCTCGTCGTTTGTTGCTCAGTCCAGCTGTGAGGCTGAGATCTACGCGGGTGCCATGGTGGCACAGGAGCTCCTTTGGCTGACCTTCTTGCTCACTGACTTAGGTGAGCGGCCTAGTTCTGCCCCGGTCCTGTACGCAAACAACAGGGCCATGATCCTCCTGTGTCAGGAGCCTCGGCTTGAGGGCAGAGCGAAGCATATCCAGCTGCGGTACTTCCTCCTGCGCGAGCTACAGCAGCGCGGCCAGGCCCGTATAGTTCACTTGGCCTCCGGTGCCAACACAGCTGATATCTTTACGAAGGCGCTTGCGCCTAAAGATCATCATATATATATATAGGACAGATCATCATATCAGCTACCCACTTGTTAGGACCCTGATTGTGTATTCTCTACTATATATACCTGTCTGACTGGCCTTGTGGCCTTACCTCCAGTGGTTGGACTAGTAGTGCCGCCCTGGCTTGCTTTTGTCTTGTTTGTACTCTTGCTGACTGGTCTTTGGACCCTTGCCTTAGTGGTTGGACTAGTAGTGCCACCCTGAGCTGTGTGCTTCTTGCTTGCACCACCCCTTCTCTAGCCTAGGGGGTGTGTCAACTTATACATATCATGCATGTAGAAGTTATAGGCTAGTATCGATGTCTGCTCTTAGTGAGTATAACCCAACTGCTATATGTTCCCTGTTTCCCCTCTAGTAATTCATTCACGTATTCTAATAGAGCATACAGACAGACTGCTCAATCCAAATTGACAGGGGGTGGGGGGGAACAACCGATCAGAATGGGGGCGGGGGTGGGGGGAAGGGAAGAACAAATCGTGCAATTCCCGCATTGAGGGAGGACCAATCATGCGCGATTGCGGAATCTGTTTCGCCTGGTAGGCGCGGAGGTGATCAGCAGAACTCTATACTACAATTCCGTACAAGTACAGCGGGTATGCTCTATGCTCCAAATCTGCGACTCGCGAATATCTACTTAGTCGAATAGGGCCCGTACGGTAGGGGCAAAATGGACTAACAAGTGAATATGGGGGGCGGAGTGAATTGTCTGGTATGTTCTGTTCATAGAAGGGTGCCTTGTCCGATGCTGTGACATTCGGTGTTACTATGCGACACGTAGGATTTCAAAACCAGTGTGATTAAAAAGTGTCCAACACACACAACAAGCAGACCGTGAACACCAAAACAGTCAAACAAACCCTAAAAAAACCCGAAATTACACATCAGCACTGACACAACTACTGGCGCAGCACTCAACACAACCGAGCAACAACACAAAGCCTATTCGCAAAATAAAACCATCACACTAGTTACACACGCTCCCTATAGCAAATGTCTGCACACACCCGAGAGCAAGCGCAGTGCAAAACACACAATAGGCACCGCAACATAGTGCTCCCTCAGCGCATCCACTCAGCCGAGTCCACCCAGCCGTCCATGATGGCCGTCGCCTGCAGCACATGCAAAAGGTACTCTTGTGTAACAACACCTAGAGCACAGTTTAGGTCCAAGCGAGGGGATGCGCGTTCGAGACGATCAATGACGGATGGGTATCGAATATCGAACAGAATGCGCAGGTCCCTCGGGAGGAGCCCGATGGACCGCGCATAACCGACCAGCATCGCGGTCGCAATGCAGCGGAGATGCCGGCGATTCCGCGAATCATGGACGGGCTGCGCAATGACCGGGGCACGGAGATGCCATGCGCCGCATGCAGGGGATCCTAGAGGTTCCAAAGCGAGGGGATCCTCGCCACTTGGGTCGCATACAGTGGCGGAAACAATTGTCCGTCTGTTTTGCATGAATTTGGATTTTTAGGCTTTAAGATCACTATACATTAAGCCTTAATGTTTAATGGTGGTACGATTTGGGAGGGGCATATAGTGGATGTGTTCATAGCACAAATATCTAGAATAGTATATTAGATCTAACTAAAAACCCAAAAGATACACAAAGGGTACATTCGGACAAATAGTTCCAAGCAGGGAGGGCAAACTTCAAAAGTGTGTTTCTAGTTCCTAGCCTACCGACCTTTGGCCTTGATCACCGCCCGCACCCTCCTAGGCAACCTGTCGATGAGTCTAGAGCAAACCTCGGCATGGATCTTCTCCCATTCTTCCTGGACCAACTCTTAAAGCTATAGCATTCCAGAGGAAGGCCTTTTCTGCTTGGCCAGCTCCCTTTTCAGGTAAGCCCAGAGGTTGAGGTTTGGTGAGAAAGAAGGCCACTCCAGGGCTACATATTCATGTTCTAGTCATTCATGCACTAGGCATAACAAATTCTTGGGGTCATTGTCCGCACCGAGATGACCTCAGAGAGGAAAATCCTATAGAAATGGAGGTTCAATTCGAGTTCGTCATGCAAAATGCCCTCATACAGGGGCCTCTCCATGCGTCCGTCAATCTTGCGTATGAACCCCACCCCCGCACATGTCACACATCCCCACACCATCACCGATCCTTGTCCCCATGGTTTACCGTCTGTTTGATTTGGTGGTGTTGCAGGGTTGTGTCTTCACGAATCCAGGCAAACGCGCGGCCATTGGAGCCAAAGCAGTTGGCGCTGGTCCCATTTGACCAGATCACATGCTTTCGAACACTTATTGTCCACTCAGCATGCGACTCCACGAATTGCAGCCAGCCCATGAGTATTTTCCAGAACAGTCTTGGCTTCTATGACTGGTGCACCGTGACTAGACCCGCAGACCCTAGTGTGTTTTTAATGGTGCAAGGGTGCACACTCAACCGTGCAACGTTACCCTCAGTTTCATGGTGTCTACGCTAGATTTGGCTGCTCTATTTATGATTTTACCCTACAATGGTACGATGAAGACGATTCGTGATAAGATGGGCTCGACCGGCTAGTTGCATTTTTGGCCATACCTCAGCATGGCTAGTCTCAAAGATACCATTCAATCCAAATTCGTCCACAATACTCTAGCCTACACTCAAATTTTTCGCGATTTTCCTAGTGATCACCCCCTTATGCTAAATGGTGGGTCCAGGAAGAGTGCAAGAAGTTCCCTGCCGAGGTTTGTACTAACCTCATAGGTAGTATGCCTAGGAGGGTACCGGTGGTGATCAAGGCCAAAGGTCGGTGGGCTATGTACCAAATACGCAATTTTGAAGTTTGCTCTCTCTGATTGGAAATATTTGTCCGGATGTACCCTTTGTATATCTTTTGGGATATGAGTTAGATCCAATGTACTATTCTGGATATTTGTGCTATGAACACATCCACTATGTGCCCCTCCCAAATCGTACCACCATTAAACATTAAGGCTTAATGTATAGTGGTTTTAAAGCATAAAAACCTAATTTTATGCAAAACACACGGACAATTGTTTCCGCCACTGTATCTCATCGTCGCTGTAGCATGTGACGAACTGGACTGCATTCATGCGGTCCTCGTCGCCCCATGGCAGCCGTGCCAAATTCTCCGCGACTGGCATGAACTCGACGGGCAAGTTATGTTCCTGCTCAGCGGCTGTGGTGCCAACCAGGGGGAGTCTCGCGAGCCAACTAGCAGGGAGGATATGCGTCCGCCACCAGCACTTCTGGACGGTCTCGGACTCGATCGAGAACCACGAGTCCGACAGCCAGGTTATGATAAGCACCATGTCGGGCTTGTACTGCAGCAGCATTCCCTCGCTATGAAACTCTTCCCATTCGCGGAACATGTCGAGGGTCTGGAACGTGCGGTACCGAGCCTTCAGCGTCGCGATGAGCCCCTGGTCCAGCGGTTGCGTGAAGCAGGTAGTGTTGGGCGGGAGAAAGACGAGACGAACGTTGCTGAGCGAGCGAGTTCAGAAGCCTAAAATGTCAGCTGATGTGACCAGCGGAGACAGGAGGCTGTGGCAGCTAGCGTTGTCCAGCAGAATGACGATGCTACGGCCTTCGGCGAAACAACATGCGTTGATGTGCTCAATGTATTCTGTGAATAACTGCGGCGGACAAGAGGAGAAATATTGCAATTTGAATGTCGGTTTTAGGAAAAACAGTGGGCAAGGAAAGCAACAACAAAAATCAAGCAATCACATAATGCAAGCAGTAGGTTCAAAAGGGCGGGGGCTGTAAACTCTCGGGCGCTTACCAGGCTAGTCATCCAGCCGGGACCGTTGCTGCGCCATACGCACTTTGTCGCAGGATCGAATTTCTTTCGGGCGAAGCAGCGAGGATTGGCGGTTTTGCTCACAATTAGGGGCTTGAACATCTGCGAGCCATCGGCGCTGCACATCAGCGCAACAGCTATGCTGTCCTTCCTGGTTTTGCCGCCAGTCACATGGTTGTTAGCTAAACTCATTTTCGGAATCTGGTTCCAAGCGCATCCAGTCTCGTCATAGTTGAAGCAGTCGCGAGGCGCAACGCCGAGCAGAGTGAGCAGCTGCTGGCAAGTGGTTTTCTTCGTCATCACTGCGCCAAGGTCCTAGTCGTTAGCTTCGCCCTGCCTGTGCCACTTGTATCCCATCCGCTTCAATGCTTTCTGCACCCACCCCACGCTAGCCTTAGATCCAGCTGGAACGCCGACGACTGGTGCCATAATCCGGGCACGTTGTTGGATGACGTCGATGGTGATGGGCAGCCCACCCCTTTGCCGCACGGCCCAGCCATGACTTCAGGCGCTGCTCAAGCAGTGGGTAGAAGGCGGAACGCATACATCGATTGGCGGAGTTCTCTGGCCCAAGAGCCTTCCACTTGGCCGCCTCCTTGAGGATTTTCCCCACGGTGCTGGGGTCGGGATAGATACCGTATCTGGTGAAACACCACCTTGCAAGGTCGCCGAGTCGAAGGTGACCATGAGCTTCAGCATGTCGGCAAATTCCGACATTCATAGCAATCGTCAGCGATGTCCTCCTGAGTAACCTCATTGTGACCAGCCGGTTGAGCCCGGCGATGTATTTGGGTTGGTGATTCGAGGCTGATCTGGCGGAATGTAAATATGACCTCTGTCAGCCTCACCTGCCGAGGAGGTACGTATGTTAAAATTATATAAATTATATATCATTGATAGGCTTGGTAGTTGTTACTGAACCTTACTGTAGAGGGTACAATCCCCTCCTTGTACCCCTCTCTCTTCCTAATCGATCCCCTTCTCTCTCGTCAATCTTCCTAGCTAAACCTCGGCCGCCATTTCATGGCGGCCTTCTCCTTTCTTGCTAGATCACTTCATAACAACGTAGGCATGCCTCTGCCAACGCACATGCAAGAGTGCCAGGTGGACGGGGGTACTAGCGGGCTGTTTGTGATTTTGTGTTCACCCCCACGGTCCGTCATGATTACGTAGCATCGCCTTGGTAGGCACGTATTGGCTGGGCAATACCAAACACATTTCACAGGGATTTTCCGTGCTCGCACTCGCGGGTTGGTTGGCGACGCTCGGATGCTGAAATTACGCCCAATTCGGGTGGCGCGCGTCGATGGTCGGTGGCATTATGCGACTGTCGTGACTGGTCCGTATGTTTATTGCGTTTTTTTAGCAAAAGTTTAACAGTAGATGTATAGCGCACAGACGGAGTACATCGTGGTGGATAGTATAGAATTCAGGATGTTAGAGTATTATATGGAGTACAATGTCATGGACCTAATGTCATATCCCTTGTACTGTACTGAGGCCTCATTCATTCAAATGTTTAGGAACCCTAGTTCACCCATCGGGATTTGAAACCAGCATCTCAAATGTACACTTCGACTCCTGTCCATGATGCTCCCGCCTCGTTCTGACCGCAGCTGTAGTGATATCCTCTGCCTGTGACTCACACTTACCCCATCCACTAGTCAAGCGTTGCGTTGGTCCTCTGCGCTTCAGCGCGCGTCCCTCACGCTGCCTCGCGTCGTGTCCGCACACTATATGGCGCGCTCGCGAGGCCACGGCGTGGCGCTGCTGTCGCTAGTAGCGCTGCTAGTCCTGGGGCCGATTCCTCCTGTCTCGCCATCCGTCGATGCTCCCACGCTGCACGGTGCGGATCGATCTCTCGCCCGTCCATGTTCTACCGGCCAATCAACAGCTCCAATGCGCCGCCGCTCACTCCCCTTTCGCTTCACTCCCCTCCTACCAACTGCCCTCATAGGTACCCCGTCTCTTCCCTAACATCCCTCCTCTCCTCCCTCCCCCCACTTCCCCCCTCCCCCCCTTCCCCTCCCACCTCCCCCTCCCTCTCCCCCCCTTTCCAGAGTGCGATACCTCCGACCCCCTATTCTCGCCGCTCCCTCTCTCCACAGACCACGCGCACCGCTACCACCGCCCGCCGCACCTGTGCTGGAGCAAGGGGGAGATCCCGTGCTATGCGGGCAGCCATGGCATGGCGGCGCGGTCCGAGACGCTCAAGCGCAAGCTGCGCGCGTACCAGGAGTACCGGCGCGACTGCGACATGAAGGAGAACGTGACCGCGTTAAAGAAGAAGCTTAGAGCGGGGAACGCCACCGAGTGCAAGTACCTTCTATGGCACTTTAGGCCCGGGGACGGGCAGGGCAACCAGTACATCTCCCTCGTGTCCGCGTTTGTGTACGCCCTGCTGACGAACAGGGTGTTCCTGCTCTTAACGGAGCTGGGTCCGGGGAAGCTGATGTGCCAGCCGTTCGAGGGCCCGCAGTGGTTCGTGTACTCGGATGTGAAGGATGAGTTGTGGGACGCGACGCTGGTGGGCATCCGCATCTCGTACCAGTACTTCCCCGACCGAGTCACGGCCATTGAGAATGGCACCAGCGATACCATGGACGTGCCCAACATGTGAGCGCCGGCCTGCCTCCCGCACTGCTGCTCCTCGTACCTATCCGCCCCCTCTTTACTGTCTGGCTACTGCTGCCAGCCTGCCAGCTCAATTTGTCACCGGACCTCCCCCCTCTCCCTCCGTCTCTCTCTCTCTCCCTCCCTCCCTCCCTCCCTCCCTCCCGTCACCCTGTGTTGCCCTCTGCACGATCGTTGGCACGTGTTCATCCTTCCATGGAAGAAAGGGAGACTGAAACAGACCCCAGCACCCCACACACACGTCTCACACCGCTGTGTTTCCTCTCTCACACGGCCACACCACCCCTCCCACACACATTTGTCCCCTCTACCTATCACTCTCTCCCCATTTTTCCTCCCCTCACTCACCTCTCCCTCATCCCCCACCCATCCCCCCTTCCTCCCTCCCTTCCCCCTTCCGCCCCTCCATCCCCTCCCCTCCCCCCTCCCCCACCCCCCAGCGCGGCCGTCAGCCTGCACCACAACATGCCGAACACGAGCATTTTCTTCTGCGAGTCAGAGCAGCGCTGGCTCTCCCAGGTGCCCTCCATCCTGCTCCTAGCCAACCAGTACTACCTCCCCGCGCTCTTCTACCACCCCTCCTTCCGCCGCCACATCAAAGACCTCTTCCCCTCGGGCCGGATATTCCAGACTGTCTCTCAGCTCATAATGTTCCCCAATAACCGCCTCTGGGCGGCCATAACGGACAACATCCACCGCCGGGCGGCGCCAGCCGCTGCCAGGTTGGGGCTCCAGCTGCGGCACTGCAGCGAGGGGATTATAGCGCAGGCAGCAGAGTGTGTGGTGCAGGTGGTGCAGGGGGAGGTGGTGGAAGCCGCGAGGAGAGTGAGGGTGAAAGGGGTGGCGGAGAGAGACGTGGCAGTGGAGCCTGGTGGACTGGGGGGAGGTGGGGAAGGTGTGGGGGGAGGAGGCGCGGGGGGAGGGGTTGAGGGTGCTGCAGGGGTGGGGAGTGGGGGAGTGGGGCAGGTGAGTGGCGAACCGACAGCGTATGGCATGGGTATGGCTTCAGAGGAAGGCACTGCTGCTGCTGTTGCCGCCGCTCTGGCGTTTGACGGGGGGGCTTCGCCTTCTGCTGCTGGAGTTGCGGCTCCAGGAGACAGCAGCAGCAATAGCGGCACCACGAGCGGCAGTGGAGGCAGCGTGGGGGGCTCGACAGTTGTGCTGATTGCTGCTCTGGATGAGTACGCTCCGTACAATCTCTCACTGCTGCTCTTCCCACCGGCTTCCTCCCCTCAACTCACGTACACCAAGATCATTGTCACAGACCACAGCAGCAACGGCAGCAGCAGCGAAACCAGCAGCAGCAACGGCAGCAGCGAAAGCAGCACGGGTACGAGCAACGACACCCAGACAGATCCTCCTGCCACTGCCAACAGCACCGCTGCAGCAACCCCAACAAGCACAGACACCCCCGACAACAGCACTGCTACCCTAGACCTCGCTCCGGTAAGCACAGTCCTCAGCATCCCTGCCAGCAGCAGCAACATCACCAACAGCACCATCATCAGCAACGGCACGCTGTCTCTGGACCGCCTGACCACGGAGACATGGCAGAGCGGGCTGGACCCCGAGCTGGAGCACGCTGTCATCGACATCTACACCGTGGCCCTCGCGTCCGACGCCATCCTCGTCTTCCCCTCCTCCACCTTTGGCTACCTCCTCGCAGGGCTCTTCGCCCGCCCGGCGTTCTTTGTCGCACACAACTGCCAGCCCGCGCCGCTCGAGCCGTGTTACCACCACCCCCCGCAACCGCACCAGTGCGCTGCGGGCGGGCAGGCCATTGGGGGGGCGTACAATGAATCGGACCCAGACCTTCCTTTCAGCAGGTGCCCGGATATGCCCAACGGAATGTCCTTGCTATATACAGGAAAGGTTCCTTGATTTCTTGGAGCACATTATATTGATCAAAATTGGTTTGGTTGAGTCGGCTTCCAGGTGGGCCAAACCGAAAGCGTTCATACTGCTGTGCTGTACCATGATACTATTACTGTGCCTTTCTGTAAGTGAGGATGGATGGAGAAGTTCCTGGCTAACCCAAGCACAGCTGGACTGGAAGCTATGTGTGTACTAGTATCTGCCTTCTCTTCTCGCCTTAACGATGCTGTTAGATGCCTATTCTGGCATGCAGAACTTAGTTCCTGCCAAGGTTACCGTAACGAATTGCTGCTTGACTCCAGGTTTGCCCAACAATGAGGCATGTGCTGCCCGTGTTGCTACCTTGGCCCCACTCCGTAGCACCCGTGGCTGAGGCGGTGGAAAACACTGGGCAGGCGAGGGAATGGCAAGAGGGAGGGTGCAGTGGGGAGGACTTGGGCACGATACCACCAGCATAAAATGGAAGAAAGACGGAATTATGGCTCTAGGTGCATAGCAATCTTTCAGCACGAGAGACGGAGGGGGGGAGCCAAGAGTGGCTTTACTGGACTATCGGAATACTGTACCGCTTGGCAGTAAAGCTGTACCTGCATCGTGTCTACCGCTTGAGTCTCACTTACTCCTGTACCCGCCCACGGCCGTTTCTCACTCCACTAGCTTCCCCCCTTCCCTCTTCTCCACCTTTCTCCCCTCCCCCCCCCCATTCTAGGCGCATAACAAGCCTCTGGCACAAAAGTCAGGGGGGGAAAGCCAAGAGCGGAATAGCTGCATGGTGTCTACCACTTACTTCATTCTCTCTGTCCCCCCCGCCCCTCTCTCCCCCCTTTACTTTCACTCCCCGATCGCTCCCACAGGCCTCACTGCTGCACTTGCGCGAGTCGCGGGCGGTGCACGTGGAAGGGCACCTTCACCCACCGCCCGTCCTTGCGCCCCACTGGCATGGCGGGCGCATGGCACGCAAACACCTGCACGCGAGGGCGTGGTGTGGTGTGGTGTGGTGTCACACGGGGTGGAGTGCGGTAGGATGAGGGAACAAGGCAAGGGTTGAGGCACGGATTCAACCAGCAGTGCGGCAAGACGGAATGCAGCAATGGCTTGTGCATGCTGCAAGGCAGGCAGCATGGCAAGCACTCACCTCATTCCATGCACTCACCTCATTCCATGCACTCACCTCATTCCATGCACTCACCTCATTCCATGCACTCACCTCATTCCATGCACTCACCTCATTCCATGCACTCACCTCATTCCATGCACTCACCTCATTCCATGCGCGCACATCTCCAGTGAAGAAGATTCTCTCGCACTGCTTGATGTCCGCCTCCCACGCCACACACCGCTGCCACCATGCGCCAGTAGGGCAATAGGGCTTGAAGATATGTATCCAGCACAAGGAGAAACTAATCCAACACACTAAACATTTTCCCCAGTAATGTACATTCACAGAAGAAAGAATGTGCTTTGCAGCGAGGGCAGGAGGAGTTGCAGCAGAGGGCAGGAGCAGCCGCATGGTCAATGGTGGCAGTGATGGGATAGGATTGGATAGGATGGGATATGAAGGGATAGGATGGGATAGGATGGGATAGGATGGGATAGGATGGGATAGGATGGGATAGGATGTGGCAGCACTAAAATGCATGTAGAAAGAGCAGGATATCCACATGAGTACGTGAGCATGAGCGCATGTACTGCCTGCCTGCCTGCCTGCTTGCCTGCCTGCCTGCCTGCCTGCCTGCCTGCCTACCCTGCCAGGTAGACCAGGTACTGCTGCCCCCTGCCCCCTGCTGCCGGCCGGCTCACCTCCACCACCTGAGAGAAGAGGCGGCGGGTCTCCCTTGCCCGCACAGCTGCGCCTGCACTCATGCGGCCCGCGCCCTTGCCCCTCTGCTGCGCCAGCTGCGACCGGCCCTGCTTCGCCCGCACCGTGTACGCCGTGATCACCTGCATAAGGGGGGGGAAACAGGCGAGAAAGGGGGGAAGGGGGGGGAGGGGACAGGTGAGAAAGGGGGCGGGGGAGAGGAAGGGGGTAACGCTGGGGAATGGTGTGGGGAGAGAGTGGCGTGGTGGGGGAGGAAGGACCAGGGGAGGGGCATGGGAGGGAGGGAGTGGTGGGAGTGAAACTGCGAGCACAGGAGTGGAAAAGCAAAGGAGCGGAGGAGCGGAGGAGCTTTTTTGTGGTGTGAAATGCCCACTGACCTTGTGTTGTGCGAGCTTCCCCTGGTGGAAGATGGCGAGCGCGGCTGAGTCGGCGCACAGCAGCGCCACCATGTGCGACCCCAGGGAAAGTGCGGGGGCAGATGGGCGCACGGAGGGGGGCGATGGATAGTGGGGTGCAGGAGAGAGGGTGGAGCGAGATAGCAGGTAGTGGATGTACCTGCAGGGTGCGGGGGGAAGGGGTGCACGTGGATGGATGGAGCCCATTAAAGGGGAGAATGAGGTGGGTGAGATACAGCGGAGGTACAGGGTGTGACCCCTTGCGTTGGGCTCTTGCATCGGGCTCTTGCATCGGGCTCTTGCATCGGGCTCTTGCATCGGGCTCTTGCATCGGGCTCTTGCATCGGGCTCTTGCATCGGGCTCTTGCATCGGGCTCTTGCATCGGGCTCTTGCATCGGGCTCTTGCATCGGGCTCTTGCATCGGGCTCTTGCATTGGGCTCTTGCATCGGGCTCTTGCATCGGGCTCTTGCATCGGGCTCTGCAACTGCACCGGTTACCACGGCCGCGCGTTCTTCGCCTGTCTTCGTTTCAGCTGTCGCGAAGGCTACGGCCGTCTTGGGTGTTACGGGCGTGACGTTTTGCATGACTTGGTCCTTCACTTGGTCTCACTTCACTTGGTCTCACTTCACTTGGTCTCACTTCACTTGGTCTCACTTCACTTGGTCTCACTTCACTTGGTCTCACTTCACTTGGTCTCACTTCACTTGGTCTCACTTCACTTGGTCTCACTTCACTTGGTCTCACTTCACTTGGTCTCACTTCACTTGGTCTCACTTCACTTGGTCTCACTTCACTTGGTCTCACTTCACTAGGTCTCACTTCACTTGGTCTCACTTCACTTGGTCTCACTTCACTTGGTCTCACTTCACTTGGTCTCACTTCACTTGGTCTCACTTCACTTGGTCTCACTTCACTTGGTCTCACTTCACTTGGTCTCACTTCACTTGGTCTCACTTCACTTGGTCTCACTTCACTTGGTCTCACTTCACTTGGTCTCACTTCACTTGGTCTCATTTCCCTTGGTCTCACTTCACTTGGTCTCACTTCCCTTGGTCTCACTTCACTTGCTCTCAGCATGGGCAGCAGGGGCAGTATTTGCGGCACGGGCAGGCAGGGCGGCATGAGCGAGGAAAAGAGAGGAAGCCTCCAATGGGATTGAGCTGCAGAGAGCATGAGGTGGCAGGGGCCCATGCGAAGTACATGCGTTGTTCAAACCAGGTGGAGAGGTACGGAAGAGAGCAGCACAGTGTGGCATGACGCACTCTTGAGGTGAATCCGGTGGGGAGGCAGGCAGGAGAACGAGAGGAGGCGCCAAAAAAAACAGACTGCTCCCACCACCAGCACCAGCACCAGCACCACCGCCACTGCCAGCACCGTGAGCATCCCCATGAGTAGCGTTGCTGCCATGTGTGTCCTCGAACCTCCTGCGCCTCTCGTTCCACTGCAGCCGCCGACCCTCCATCTGCGCGCGCACCACCTCCACGCACTCCTCCCACTCAAACCACCTCACGCCCGCCCCACTCCCCCCTACCTCCTCGCCCCATCTCTCCTCCCCCTCTTCCCCCCCTCCCCCCTCTCCTCTACCAAACTCACTCCCCTCGCTGCTCTCCGCTCCAGCCCAGTCCATCATTTTTTCTCCCCGCCCCGAAGCCCCTTCCCCCCCCCCTCGCCCTCTCTCCCCTCCCCCCTTCTCTCCCCTGCACCGCCACTATCACTGTGTGTTCTGCCGTTGCCGTCCCCTTCCCTCTCCCCGGCGCTATCAACCGGCGCGAAATCCCCCCCGTTTGCCCCATCTCTCCCCGCTAACCCCTCACCCCCCTCCCTCCTCCGCCCCCCCTCCTGTTCGCCACCTCTGCGCGCCAGAGGCGCCAATGCCCCATCCGCCACCCTCCGCAGCCACTCGTCAAACCCCGCCTCCGCCTCGCCGTTTCCCCCGCCTTTCCCCCGACCCCCGCTAGCACAGCATCTCACCGCCCTCGCGCTGCAGCAGCTGCTACCGCCGTTGCGCCTCCCGCCAGAGCTGACGTCATCTCCCCGCCCGATTATGCGAGCGGGAAGGCGAAAGGCGACGCATGCGAGGGGAATGGGGGAGGGTGAGGTCGGCGGAGGCGGGGAATTGGGGGAACGCGGATGGAGAGGGGCGGGGGAAACAGCGGGTGCGAGAAATTGTGAGTCGAGGGGTCTTGTGGCTGACGTGGCAGGCGACAGCAGAGCGAAGTGAGACATCTGCCGCCACGTGGCAAGATCAAGCCGACCAATGGCGCATGTGGCTACGCGGGTAAGGCGGAGGGGGCGCGGAAGCAGGGGGGGCATGGGGATTCGTGGCGGAGTAGGCGCAGTTCGTGGTGCTGGAAGAACTGACCCCACTCTCTATGAACTCCCTCGTTATCACGTGGACGGAAAAAAAAGCAATCACTGAATTACACCCAAAGAAAGAAACCCAGGGAAAATGACAAAAACCTATACAAGCAACAATGAATTTGGCTACTCGTTAATAGAATCCCTAGCTATACCGTTTGTAACAAACAGAATTATAGTTACATGGTGGTAGGTAATCTATATGGCCGCACTCACACCCTCCAACAACGTCGGCCGCTCAACTTGACCACTGATTTCGGATCACACAGTAGCTTTGGAATCAAATCCACCATTCGCGGCCGTAAGAGTCAAATCCATAAGCTCCCATTCAGCTGGAGCCATGCGTCAACGCAGCAATCACATGGCGTGGCGTGGAGAGTACTTGACGCACAATGGGGAGATGCCACGGCGCCGCCTGCACCGAGGCATACAGCCATGGCTGCACTGTGCCCACAAAGTGCTCGTGCCTCGTTGACAATAGTGCTTCCCAGTCCACCTGAACAGCAGCAGCGGCAAAACACACACACCCATCGATACCCACCACACCATTCAGTTCAGAACCCTCCAACCAATCACTGTGACCAAACAAAGTGAGCACACACACATGCTGTCTGGCTAAGGAATGACCGAAACTCCTGTACAAACAAGGACCGACAAAGGCTGAGAGGGGTTTCGAGCGGCAGGCAAGCGGAAGGCAGTGAGATCTCACATGCACGCCTGGGGGAATGAGAGCAGTTGTCTCCATATCTGCCGCCATGCTCAGGCCCAGTATGGCCGCCAGCCCTGCGATGGCCGACCCGCGAGTAAGCGGCATCACCTGGAACCTGCAGCAGCGGCACGGGTGAGGGTTGATGGCGGGAGGGAGAGGAACGGTTGGGTTTGGAGCAATCTCGTGAATTGGGTGTGGCGGGAGTGTGTGGAGAACGTCGTGAGGGGAGGGGTGAAAAAGGGAGAGGAGCTGGTAAGGATAGGAGGAAACAGGGGTTGCAGTTGGGGGCTATGGGTTGCGGGCTTCGGGATGCAGCAAGGGTAAGGGCAGTGCGTGTGGCGCGGTGCATACCAAAAGAAGGTGAGGCGCAGGATGGCGTGCTGCACGCGCTGGCGGTAGAGGGGCGCATCCCCTGCCTGTGTGCGCGCATCCAGCACCGCAGTGCAGAGCGACTGGGGAGAAGAGGGGGGCAGAAAGATAGGGACAGAGCAGGAGAGGAGGGCGACTCAAGTCATTGAGCAGTGCCGCACAGAGATGGATCGGGGAAAGACACGCCGAGAAGGCTATAACAAGGGGGGCCTCATGCTGCTGAAGGAAAACCCAAACGCCTGAACTTCGTGCGCAGAGAGAGAGAGAGAGAGAGATTGAGAGAGAGAGAGAGAGAGAGAGAGAGAGAGAGAGAGAGAGAGAGAGAGAGAGAGAGAGAGAGAGAGAGAGAGAGAGAGAGAGAGAGAGAGAGCGAGAGAGAGAGAGAGAGAGAGCAAGCGAGAGAGAGTGAGAGAGAGAGAGAGTGAGAGAGAGAGAGAGAGAGAGAGGGAGGGGGGGGGCAGAAAGAGAGAGAGAGGGGAGAGGGGTAGAGAGAGAGCGAGAGAGGGGTAGAGAGAGAGAGAGCGAAAGAGAGGGAGAGACAGAGAGAGGTGGAAACATAGAGAGAGAGAGAGAGAGAGAGAGAGAGAGAGAGAGAGAGAGAGAGAGAGAGAGAGAGGGAGAGAGAGAGAGAGAGAGGTGGAAACATAGAGAGAGAGAGAGAGAGAGAGAGAGAGAGAGAGAGAGAGAGAGAGAGAGAGAGAGAGAGAGAGAGCCTATGTCCCTTGGTATTTAGAGCCCTCTGTCCTCTCATTCCTCTGTTTTTAGTTTGGTTTCTTCTTTTTCTCCTTCCCTTGGTGGCGGCTCGCGCCGGCGGCCTTCGGCCGCCGTCGCTCGCAGCGCGGCCTGCGACCGCGCGATAGGGGCCGCCAAATACTTTGCTCAAGACACAACAACTCAAGGATAACACATCAACGGCACAAGGAGACCACAAGCCGGCACACCAGACACCTAACTCCAGACATGGAGAGCCTCATCCGCCGTACCGAGGCTCTAGCTCTGGTGAGCTCGTCTCCTACACGAACGTACGTCAGGAGGGAGCAGGTCACGCGAGCTGGTCCGCTCCCGCCTCTTCCAGCAGCGCCGTCACATAGCCCTCCAGGAGCTGGAGCGCTGACACGGCTCCGCCAACGATGTCTACAGCTGCAGCCGAATCTATGCTCGCCGACACTGCGCGCATCACGGCGAGGAGCTGGGGGTCCAACACTGTTCCCCGGGCGGGCGCAGGCTGCACTCGCGTCGACACGACGGCGAGATCCGCTGCAGCCATCGCGCAGCGATGGAGAGGATCGTGGGGCATCCTGCACGGGCTCGCTAAGCCCCGTAGTACGGAGTGCGAGTCCGTCAGCATCCCCACTGCGATCCCCATCGCCCGCCGCGCGTGCCAGAGCCGACGAAGCGTGGCGACTGGGACCGCCATCTCCACGAGGCGCTCCCGCCCTCGCAGCCGCTCCACCTGCACCCTCGGCGGCATCCGCAGCTCGCCTGGGCGGCGCTGCTCCGACCCCTCACACGGAAAGCCCTCATCGGAGGACTCCGCCCCCCCCGTCTCCGCTGCTTCTGCCCCCCCCTCGACTCCTGTCGGCGAGCCCATCGCCATATGGGGGGGAACAAAGGGCGCGGCAGCCCGCGTGCTGAAGGACGGCGGAGCCATCGGCTGTGGCTGGCCTTCGTACCAGCTCACCGCCGAAGCCCCCACCACTGGTGGCTGCCAGCTTGGCAGCGTCCCCATGGTCGGCACATCCGTCGGTGCAGCCTGCGTGTTGGGCGCGAGGTGCTGTTGGGGCAGCTGCCGGGCCTGGTACCAGGGGCCAGACGGCGGAGGCAGCTGACGAGGCTCCTGACGGGGTGGCGGCTGTGGCGCCATGGACACAGGCGCCGGAAGCGGTCGAAACGGCACTTGCAGCGGCACAGAATACGGAGGAGGCGCTTTCGCGGGCGGAATCTGCGGCGGGGGGTACACGCTCGGGGGCTGAGGCGGTGCTACCGATCGGAACAGGTTTTCCAGGGTCGCAGCAGCGCGACCCAACCGCCTCTCCGCGGCCGAGCCTCGCCCGTTGCCCCCTCCGGCCCTCCACCCGCGGTGCGGTCCAGACTGCCCACGCTGCCCCTGCGGCGTCCGACGCTGCTGGGCGGGAGCCGCTTGCGCCCCCCCCTGGGGTGTCCCTCGACGCGGCGGGACCAGCAGGGGCTGCTGCTGCGGATGCTGCGCTGCCCCCGGCTGGCCTCGGTCCGCACGCTCGGAGGCCTTCTGCTCGTGACGTGCGGGGGACGAGCGGCGGCTGCCAGACAGACGCTCTGGGGTCTGCTGGCGGCTCGTTGGCGAGAAGGGGACTCCGCGCTCCCAACCGTGGTTCGCGGGCGGTGGGGAACTCTCCCGATCTCGGCGGGGGACGCTCTCCCCCGTGCTCTCCAAATCCAGGGACCGCTCGCGACGGGGACGCCCAGCTCCCACCACATTTCGGGGTGACTCCATTGACGGCCCGGACGCCTTCCTCGGCGTCGCCTGTGCGTCGGAATAGTCTGCGAGCGTCACGCGGATTGGCAGCACGCAGTGGAAGCCGGGACCAAAGGGGTCGGGGGCGCGGTCGAGGACGGACAGGCTTCTTGTCTCGGGATGGAGGCCCGCTGAACGACTTCCAGCAGGCTGCTAACCGGGCTTTAAGGGAAGGAGGGCAAAGGGAGGTAACTGGCGAGGAAGAACGACGAGACGCATCTTATGTACCAGAGAGGATCCAGGACTCATCAACGGAGGAGTCCAGTGCTGCTCTGGAGGAGAGAACTTTGTCACGCAGGCGAGGCGGGAACCCGTCCCCTTCGCTCAGATCCCGCGGAAATCGACCTGCGAACACACAGCCACTTGGCTCTCCCGCCCAGGCTGCCAGAGGGAGTGCGCGAAATACGCGTCCCTCCTGCCCCAGTAGTTCGCCAGATATCCAGATCCCTCGGCAGTTTTCGCCACAGGAGCTGTCATCCAACGAATCCCTGTTCGCCGGGGTGGCGGGATGGGATATCGACCTGCTTTGCGACAGTCGCCAACCCCCGATTTCCCGCAGAATCCCCCCCAAACTTCGCCAACTCTTCGCCCTAGCACTCCTGACACCTCTGCTACACATCGCACACAACCCATCCAGCCTCGCCGGTTGGCGCCTGTTACTTTTCGTCCCTCGCCTAACCCTTCGCCTGCACTCGCCCAAGCACCCTGATTGGGCCACGGTGGAAAAACGACTGCAGCAGTTCCTCGCGGGCGACTGGCAGACGCTGTACCTGTCAGCAATCGATGCTGTGCATAACCCCCCCGCTCCCCGCCACGTGCCGGACTCCATTGGCAGGCAAAAGCGAGCAGAGGGGCTTGTCCGTCGTGGCAGTCTCCGACGTGCCCTGCTGGCACTGGACTCGACCCCGGTCAGCGATTCAACCCCCGATGTCCTCGAGGCGTTGAAATCCAAGCACCCCGCTCCGTTGACCGAGTCATTTGACTGGCCCATCCTTGACGAATCGGAGGCGGGCCCCTCGTTTTCGCATGAGGTGTTCATTCGCGTGGTGAGTCGTTGCGAAAACGGAGTGGGCGCAGGGCCTTCAGGAATGTGCTTCGAGCACATTCGCGACGCTGCCCTCGCTAACGATTCAGTCGCTCGCAAGCTACACGAGCTTGCACTACGCCTGCTCAAAGGGGACTCCACCGCGGAAATTGCCGCCCTACTCACTGCCAACCGCCTCATAGCATTTCCCAAGCCGGGAGGCGGTACGCGTCCTATCGCCATAGGCGAATGCCTGCACCCGCCTCGTGGCGAAGGTGGGCCTCCTCACCATGACGGCACAGGCGCAGACCCATTTCCTCCCGCTGCAGTTTGGGGTAGCGGTTCGCGCGGGTGGCGAGGCGATCATCCATGGAGCCCGCGCTTACACATCGGAATTCCCGACCGCCCTCGTACTCCAGGTCGACGTGTCGAATGCTTTCAACAGCGTCGACAGGGCCGCAATTGTGGCGGGGCTCTACAACTCGCCCCTCCGGCCGCTTCTCCCCTTTGTCAAACTCTCCTACGGAGCACCGTCTCGCCTCTTCTTAGACGCGGGGTTCGGCAGCAAACCCCTCCTCAGTGCCGGGGGTGTCCGCCAAGGGGACCCTATGGGCCCCCTGCTCTTCGCAGCGGCTTTACACCCAGCACTCCAGGCGACAGCATCAGCGTTCCCTAGTGTGCTCTGCCTCGCATACGCCGACGACATCACGCTGCTTGGAGAGCCGTCGGCATGTGCGTCTGCATTCACGCATCTCACTGAGGCCCTGCGCCCCCTAGGCCTCGTGCACAACCCTTCAAAGTGCGCGGCGTGGTCGGCTTCCGAGCCCCCCAGCCCAGTCCTCCCACCGGGCATTCCCTTCCGCGCCGACGGCCTTCGTGTCCTCGGCAGCCACCTCGGCCCTACTGAAGCCACAGCCGCTTTCCTTCGAGAGCAGCTGGCCGACATGGCCAGACCGCTCCCCCACCTGGCGACCATGGATCCCCAGGCCGCGGGCCTCCTTCTCCACCGCTGCGTCTCACGACGCGTATCCTATCTCACCCGCACCACCCCCACAGACTCGCTGCCGACCGAGGAATGGTCCAACTGGGGCCAGGAGCTCTTCCATACCCTCCTCCTCTCATGCAACCTTCAGCTCCCGCGGGGTGAACTGGAGCGGTTGCGCACGTGGCAACAGGCCTCTCTGCCCCCCACTCTAGGCGGCCTTAGCCTCGCAGACCCCGCAGTGGAGGGCCCGCACGCCTTCCTCACCAGCGTCACACAGGCCCACCGGCTGCTCATATCCCTTCCTTCGGACCCGACAGGCCCCCTCACCGCAGCGGCATGCTCCCTGGCCCCTCCCTTCAATGGCCCCTCGCGTCTCCATACCTGGCTGGCGAAATGTGAGTCGGCCCTCCCAACTCCAGCCCTAGCGCTCCTGCAAGCCGAGCGGGCGGAAACCTCGGACGAACCTCTCCAGCACCGACTGGCCCTGGAGGTGCACGCAACCCGCTTCGCCAATCAATTGGCTGCGTCACGGGTGATGGACCCCAACCCCCTTAGCGGCCACACCCAGCGGCTCCTCTCCCTCACTGGGTATGGCGCCAGCGACTGGCTCCTCGCCATCCCCCTATTCCCATCTCTTCGGTTGGCGCCGCATCACTATGCCTTCGCCTTGGCGTTCCGCATGGGCCTCCCTGTCCCGGCACCCAGGGTCTGCAACTGTGCCCAACAGGTCGCGATCATCGACCCACGCCTACCAAACCACCTCCTCCGCTGTGGGACGGGACACGGTCGCACCGACACGCACAACGCCCTCCGAGATGAGTGCGTACGCATGGGGCGAGACGCACAGCGCACAGCTCATTGTCACGAAAGAAACGGCGATGTACAACCCCGTCGACGGCAAGACCGCCGACCTGGCCATACGTGACCGGGACTCGGGGGCGGTCTGGATCTGTGATGTCACCGTCACCGACCCAGTCAGCTCCCGGGACCCGCTAGCGCGCAAAGGCCGCGGTTACATGGCCCGGGAACAAGCGGACAAGAAGATCAACGAATACCGCCACCGGGCAGCGTACGTCGGCTTCTTCCCTCTCGCATTCGAGACGTATGGCTGCCCATGCGCCGAAGTGCCAACCTTCCTTAAACTCCTCGCACACACGGCCGCCCGCCGCCTTTTCAATGCCGACCCCAGCTCCTACCAGGCGGCTAAACTGCTCAGCCAGTTCCGCCAACGCTGGTCTGTCACCCTTCAGCGGGGTCAAGCCCTCACCTACCTCGGGAAGGTGAATGAAGCTTCGCCACTTGAGGGGCTGCCCCTAAGTGCCCCTGAGGCAAGCATGTCCCTTGGGGACTGCTTCGCGGTCATTGAGCACCCAAGGGAATAGCCGGGGACTAGGAGCTAGTCCACGAACACCATGCATGCCTGTACCCACCTTATATGCCTAGCCTGTACCTAGGATCTCCCAGCAATGAAGGACCGTTAGAGAGAGAGAGAGAGAGAGAGAGAGAGAGAGAGAGAGAGAGAGAGAGAGAGAGAGAGAGAGAGAGAGAGAGAGAGAGAGAGAGAGAGAGAGAGAGAGAGAGAGAGAGAGAGAGAGAGAGAGAGAGAGAGAGAGAGAGAGAGAGAGAGAGAGAGAGAGAGAGAGAGAGAGAGAGAGAGAGAGAGAAGAGAGAGAGAGAGAGAAGAGAGAGAGAGAGAGAGAGGAGAGAGAGAGAGAGAGAGAGAGAGAGAGAGAGAGAGAGAGAGAGAGAGAGAGAGAGAAGAGAGAGAGAGAGAGAGAGAGAGAGAGAGAGAGAGAGAGAGAGAGAAGAGAGAGAGAGAGAGGAGAGAGAGAGAGAGAGAGAGAGAGAGGGAGGGCGAGAGAGAGAGAGAGAGAGAGAGAGAGAGGGAGAGAGAGAGAGAGAGAGAGAGAGAGAGAGATAGAGATAGAGATAGAGAGAGAGCCCCTCGGGGAGCTCCAGTAGGCCGGCTGCCCTCCCCCAGCATGCACGTACCTTTGATAGGTTTGAAGTTTTTGCCCGCATGTTTAGTCTGTACAACGTTCTCATTCAATACAAGGACCGCTTGAGAGAGAGAGAGAGAGAGAGAGAGGAGTGTAAGAGGACTGTACCATACCCACCTCCCACGCTCCTCAGTGAGCGCGGAGTCCGCCAGGGGGACCCGCTCGGACCATTACTCTTTGCTGCGGCTATCCACCCCGCCCTCCGAGCCACGGCGGACGCCCACCCCTCTGTCCTCTGCCTCGCCTACGCCGATGACATCTCTTTCCTGGGCGACCCAGCCGATTGCACCTCCGCCTTTACACACTTCACAGCCGCCCTCGCCGACCTTGGCCTAACCCACAACCCCGACAAGTGTGCCGCCTGGTCGGCGACACGACCGGCGCCGCACCTGCTGCCGCCGGAGATTCCCTTCCGCACGGACGGCCTTCGGGTGCTCGGCAGCCATATCGGCCCCCCGGAGGGGGCCGCCGCCTTCCTTCGGGCCCAGCTCGCCTCCATGGCATCTCCCTTACCTATCCTAGCCACCATGGACCCGCAAATAGTGTCCTTACTGCTGCACCGGTGCATCTCGCGCCGAGTCTCATACCTCGTGCGCACGACACCCGTGAACCTGCTCCCGACAGCCGAGTGGTCCAGGTGGGGGCAGGACCTCTTCCACACGCTCCTGCGGGCAAGTGGCTTGCAGACGCCCCGAGGGGAATTAGAACAGCTCCGCACCTGGGCCCAAGCTTCACTACCGCCCTCACTAGGAGGCCTTGGCCTCACGGACCCCGCGGTTGAAGGCCTGCACTCCTTCCTGACCAGCACCACCCGCGCCCACGCCCTCCTCGCCTCTCTGCCCACCGCAGCTGCTAGTCCTCTGACAAAAGCCCTTCGGCCCTTGGCGCCTCCGTTCTCCAGCCCCACCACCCTCCATACCTGGCTGACGGAGTGCGAAGCGACACTGCCGCCACGTGCCCTCGAGCTCCTGCAGTCGGAACGCGCCGAGGCGTCCGATGTACCCTTGCAGCACCGCCTGTCTCTGGAGGTCCAGGCAGCCCGCTATGCCGACCAGGTGGAGGCCAGCCGCAGCATGGTATGAACCCCAACAGTGGGCATACACAGCGCCTTTTCTCCCTCACGGGGTATGGCGCGGGGGACTGGCTCCTAGCCATCCCCCTATTCCCCTCCCTCCGGCTCGCACCCCCGCACTTCGCGATCGCCCTCGCTTTCTGCCTTGGCCTCCCCCTCCCGGTCCCAAGGGTCTGCAACTGCGCCAAGCGGGTGGAAATCCCTGACCCGCGTCTCCCGAACCACCTGCTCCGCTGTGGGACAGGGCACGGGCGCACTAATACGCATAATGCTCTTCGGGACGAGTGCACCCGCATGGCACGAGATGCACAGTTCATCGTCAAGAAAGAAACTGCCACCTATACCCCCATTGGCGATCAGACTGCCGACCTGGCAATCCGAGACCGAGACTCGGGTGCTGTATGGATCTGTGACGTCACCGTCACCGACCCGATCAGCAGCCGCGACCCCCTGGCACGGAAAGGGAGGGGGTACATGGCACGGGAGCAAGCAGACAAGAAGATAGACCACTATCGCAACCGCGCGCCGTACGTCGGTTTCTTCCCCCTCGCCGTGGAGACCTACGGATGCCCCTGTGCCGAGGTGCCCGCTTTCCTACAGCTTTTGGCCCATACTGGCGCCCGCCGCCTCTTTAATGCGAACCCGACCTCGTACCAGGCTGCCAAGCTGCTCAACCAGTTTCGGCAGCAGTGGTCGGTCACCCTCTAGCGCGGACAGGCCCTTTCATACCTCGGCAAGGTGAATGAAGCCGCCCCGCTCGAGAGGCCTGCCCTCGGGGCGCCAGATGACAGCATATCCCTCGGGGACTGTTTCGTCATTTTGGAGTCCACGGGGGAAGCCCACGCAGGCTAGCTGGGGGAGGGAGAGAGGTTTTAGGTTGCATGCCCGTCCCTGCCCCATTTGCCTAGCTCTGTACACAGGTTCCTAATGAATACAAAGGACCACTTGAGAGAGAGAGAGAGAGAGAGAGGAGAGAGAGAGAGAGAGAGAGAGAGAGAGAGAGAGAGAGAGAGAGAGAGAGAGAGAGAGAGAGAGAGAGAGAGGACTGTAAGAGGACTGTACCATACCCACCTCCCACGCTGCAGTCATTTCCTCATCATACTTGCTCCACTTGCCCGCATCCAGAGAGGTCTCCGTGTAGAAGTCGTAGGAGTGGTTGCTGCCACCCACAGCACCACACAGCACCACACACCAGCGCACACCAGGACCATCAGAAGCAGAAGCACCAACAGCAGCAGTATTTGTTTCGCCGCGTGCAGACCAGAGAGAGAGAAAGAGCACAGATACTGAGCAACGCAGAGGAGGACCGGGGATGCGGCAAGGGGAGAGCACTCACGTCTTCTTGCCTTGAAACTCTGTTCCTGGGATGAGCCGCCTGCAGCACAAGCACAGGAACGGAAAGAGACTGGGACCGGCAGCAGTGGGGGTGAACAGGGCAGGCTGCACGTTGCCCCAGAGCTCTGCAACGCCTTGCACAGTGTGTGGTTGCCACTGGCGGCAGACATGGTGGCACGTATGGCTATGTGATGGTGACATGGTGGTAGGGTGGCATGGTGGCATGGTGGCATGGGAGTGGGCGTGATGACCCACCACGGGTGGCATGTGATGCGCTCCTCTCACCCGGGGTGCAGTGCGCTGTGAGTGAAAGTGAGTGCAGAGAAGTCCCTCCCCACTGCTGCATGCAGCGCTGCCAGGTCACTGGCAGCCTCTATCTGCATGCATGAGGGGGAACGGCAGGAGAGGGGCCGAACGGAGGAGGGATTAGGGTAGGAGGGAGTAACGCGGTGGTGCTGTGGGGTGGGGTGGATGTGGTAAGGGGCATGAATGCGCACAGACGCATGCAGTGCTGCTGCTGTTACAGCACACACATGGGGAAGAGGGAGAGAGAGTTGACGGGGAGGGGACAGGGGAGTGGGAGAGACAGTTGAGTGACAGAAAGCATAGTGCAGTGGGAAGTTACAGAGGCAGTCTGGCAGACTGGAGGGCGGACAGTGCGTGAGCCACTACTCTCGGAATCTGAACTTTAAGGAAAGCACGACGGATGAAAGTAGGCTTCTACTAGTGTCCCAACCTTGTTTCCGTAGGTACTGCGAGGCAAACTGAAACGAGTATAATTGGCGTCAAAGGCTTCCTCATGCTCCAGCAGCGTGGCTCTAGTGAGCGCCACTGCCCTGCCAGGGAGGGGAAGGAGAAGGAAGGAGCAGCGGACGACGGAGAGAGGTGGACGAAGCATCGGGCGAGAAAAAAACATAACAATGGCGACAAGGACCAATGCGGGGCTATGGGCAAGAGCAGCAAGGAGAACAACAAATGCAGGTTGAGGTGGGGACGGGAGGAGAAGAACTTGGGATCCCAGGCAGAGGGAAAGGGGTGGCAGTGGAGAGAGTTCAAGAGGGTTCATGAGAGTTCGAGAGCGGGTGTGGTGCACGGGAGGGTGCAATGGTCGAGTGGACTGGCGGCATCTGAGTGCGGTGGGCGGACGGACCGACCTGTCGTGCACTGGATAGTACTTCACTGTTTCCAAATCATAGACTTTAATTGGTGTGGTCGACCGCACTGCCACCCGCTGTGGCGACCTGATAGCAAGAGGGGGTGAGACGAGTGGCGCAAGAAGAGGAACAACTTTGGGAGCGTGTCTCGCCGCTTTCGTCCCACGCCCCCGCCCCTCATCCCACCCGTACCAAAGGAACATGGGCAGACACATGGCGCACGGCACTGGCCATGATTGCGCGCATCGCACAGCCCCCCTGCCGCTCTAAAACCTCCCCCTGCCACCCTAGGACCGAACCCCTGCGGCTCTAGGACCGCCCCCTTGCCACTCTAGGACCGCTCCCTGCCGCTATAGGACTGCCCCTTGCCACTCTAGGACCTCTCCCTGCCACTATAGGACTGCCCCTTGCCACTCTAGGACCACCCCCCTGCCACCCTAGGACCGAACCCCTGTGGCTCTAGGACTGCCCCCTTCCCCTCTAGGATCCCCCCCTGGTGCTCTAAGACATCCCCAAGCCGCCCTAGGACCACCCCTGCCGCCCTAGGACCGCTCCCTGCCGCTCTAGGATTGCCCCTTGCCGCACTAGGACCGCCTCTAGGACGGCCCCCTACCGCACTAGAACCGCTCCCTGCCGCACTAGAACCGCTCCCTGCCGCACTAGAACCGCTCCCTGCCGCACTAGCACCACTCCCTGCCGCACTAGGCTAGAATAGGGGTGTAGCTATTTAACCTTTTGGAGGGTTGTTGGTTGGGTTCACCAACCACAAGTTGGGGCTGGCGAAGATAGGATTTGGTTGGTCCTTTGTTTGGCACTATTCCAACCACATGGTCCGAAAACCTAGCCAGTCAGCAACCACCACACTTTGGGGTTGCTCCCTTTCCAGATTTGTGGGCAATAGGAGAGCCTTCCCTTCCAACCCTTCCTTTGCTCCTTGCTTGTACTAAAGAGCCTCTTGGCTCCTTGCTCAGGTCAATTCTTCATCTTGAATTTGCAGGGTTTTTTTTTTTAGAATTCTCAAAAAAATTGCAGGGTATTTTTGAGAATTCTAAAAAATACCCTGCTAGTTCCTTCAAGGACCGCCCCCTGCCGCCCATGAATGCGCTCCCTGCCGTTCCAGGTTCGCCCACTGCCGCTCTAGGAACGCCTGGGACCGCTACATGCCGCCCATAAATGTGCTCCCTGCCGCTTTAAGACCGCCCCCTGCTGCACTTGGACCACTCCCTGCCGCCCATAAAGCGGCTCCCTGCCGCCCTAGGACCGGCCCCTGCTGCACTACAACCGACCCCCGCCTCCCATAAATGTGATCCCTGCTGCACTAGGACCGCCCCCTGCTGCTCTAAGACAGAGAGACCCCTGAGTGACGTCACCCCAGAGAAGCAGGAGCAGCACACTCACAGCAGCAGGTCCTTCCAGAACGTGGCGTCCGTGGGGTTGGCGATCTGCCGCCACCGTGCAATGATCTGAAACACATCCCTCCACCCGCCAATCCCACCTCCCGCCCCCTCCTGCGCGCCCCCCTCCCTCAGCAGGGACTGCAGCCTCCATCGGTGCTGCCCCCCGCCCTCCACCCACCCCACCCTGCCCCCACCCGCATGCCCACCATCCCCTTCTTCCTCCTCCTCCTCCTCCTCTTGCTCCTGTGCCTTGGCCACGGCCTCCCATGTGCGGCGCACCTGCTGCATCACGTCAAGAGCTGCCAGCCCGGCCATGCGCAGCTGAGGGGAGCGCATGGACATAGGGGAGGGGCGGATGCCATCGAGACTTTTGAGAGGCATGAGGCGCACACACATCACCTGGGCCAGCCATACCCACTCTCGAACCTAACCACACCAAGCTAACAGTCACACCCTCATGCCCCCCCTCACGCGCACCTGCATTTTGTTCCTCAGCATGCCATCCACGTGGCAGTGCGCCCTCTCCCCAATCACGTCCGCCGCTGCTATCAGCGCCAGCGCAGCATCTGACATGGCGCCACCTGGCGTGAGTGGCCACATGGCGTGCTCCCATTGGTCCACGGTGGCATTGATTCGCTGGTAGGAGGGAATGGTCTTGGGATGCTCCCTCCTCATCCACGCATTCTGACCCAAGGCAATATAGAAGGAGTATTTTGGGTCGACTCAAAATATAGACAGGAGGAAATTCAGAGAGCTCAGAGACGACTCGAATTTCGAGTTTTATGACAAGTTTTAGGGAGCGGGGGATTTAAGAGATGGTGAACGCGAGGGGCATTTGTCACGCGCAAGCGCGTGCGCGTTGAAAACGAAGAGATGGGGGAGTTTGCAGCGAAGAAGTGGGGCTGCAGGAAGGAGTAGACGCGAGTGAGGAGGAGATAGAGAAAGCGAGAGGAGGCATTGCCTTCAAATCGACGGGCATGTGTGCGTCGACATGGAAGGCAGCAAATGGCAGGTCCAAGCGCGCCACGGTGTAAGCGAGCAGCTCCCTCTGGCACCCGAGGACGGGGAGGGGGAGGGGGGATGAGATGAGAGTGGATGTGCAAATGTGTTGGTTAGGAGTCACATGGGCTGAGAGGTCCGGAGTGGAAGTAGCGATTAGGGGAGCCTTTGAGAAACTGCTATGTGGACAAGAAACGCTACAAGACGTGTGGCTGTGGCGTGGCTGTGGGTAGGTGAGTGGGGTGAGCAGTGAGAGCATGAGCAACGACCTGGTAGAAGGCAGCGATGAGGAAGGACGCTTCTTTGTCACTGCTGGGCCGCTGGGCGAACAGATGGGTATACTTGGCCAGCTGGTGGACACACAGGGGGGGGGGGAGGGGCACCAGCACACAAGAAGCATCGACTGTTCGTTTGAGCCTTGAAGGTCAGTTGTTGACTCGCACATGAATGTGGCATACCATACGCATGTGTCCGGCGTGGACGGTGGACACGCGCACATGGAGCCCGGCACTCACGGCTTGCGGCAAGTCCCCCAGGGCATGCAGCGCACAGGCCTCGGCATACAGCAGCTCCAGGTCGCCCCCCTGCGCCCGCACCCCCTCCCTCGCGTACGCTATGGCACCCCTGGGTGGGGAAGGCAGGAGGAAGGCTATGGCTCAGGCTGTAGCTCAGGCTGTAGCTCAGGCTGTAGCTCAGGCTGTAGCTCAGGCTGTGGCTGAGGAATCTGAAACGTCGGGAGGAAGACAAAAGAAGCTGTGCGTTATGCTGTTGAGAATTGTCAACGACATGACACGTGAGGAGGAAGACAAAAACAGCTGTGTGGAATGCAAATGAGGCGACAGATGGGGGTGCACGGCACTTCTAACAGCAACATAAGCGTAGCAACAGCCACAGCAAAAGCTACAGCTACAGCAACTACAGCAGCAGCAGCAGCAGCAGCAGCAGCAGCAGCAGCCAGCATGGAGCGACCCAAGCCTTGTGGCACTGCTTGGGTGGGCCCCGAGACTCACTGGTAATCCCCCAGGCCTCTCCTCAGCGCCACAATGTTACGGTACACCGCCACTGAGCTGCCATGACAGCAAGCAAACAGGGGGAGGTGACGATGGGTAAGCTAGAAAGTTTGGAACGCGGGGGACAGAGGTGGTGAGGTGGAGGCGTGCGTGGTTGACAGTCTGAGGCAGGGAGCGGGGAGGGGTCAATTTTTGAGGCGCCTCAAAAAGGGAGCGGGGAGGGCGCGGAGCACGAAGGGCACAGAGGGAAGAGGAAATGGTGTGAGGGGGAACTGCACGGCCGAGGGACTCTCATTTCAGCGCTCTCTGCACAGTCATGTGGCCTGGTTTCGCCAAGGCCAGATTGCATCTGCCACAAGCCTGGCAACCGGGTCACCCTTCGTCAACTGTCAGTCAACCCGCCCTCCCCTCCCCTCCCCTCCCCTCCTCCCCCTCCCCTCCTCTCTCCACCCACTCCTTCTTCCCCCCCCCCCATTCCCTGACCTGCGGATGTGGAGGGCGGTGAGCAGGCAATGCATGGCGGGGAGCGCCTCCCCCAGGATGCGGTGCACGCTGCCCTTCTCCTCCCACATCTCCGCCATGTCGCCGTGCCGCTGCACCGCCTGCTGCCACAGCGGGAGCGACTCGCGGTACTGGCCCATGCACGTGTAGGAAAGAGCCTGGCGGCGAGAGGGGAGGTGGATGGGGATGGAAGGGGTGAGAGACAAAGAGGAAAGGAATGGAAGGTGTGAGAGTGGAAAGGATTGGATCGGATTGAATTGGATTGGAGTGGATTGGATTGGATTGGATTGGATTGGATTGGATTGGATTGGATTGGATTGGATTGGATTGGATGGGATTGGATTGGATTGGATTGGACGGGATTGGATTGGGTTGGATTGGACGGGGTTGGATTGGATTGGATTGGACGGGATTGGATTGGATTGGATTGGACGGGATTGGATTGGATTGGATTGGATTGGACGGGATTGGATTGGGTTGGATTGGACGGGATTGGATTGGGTTGGATTGGATTGGACGGGATTGGATTGGGTTGGATTGGACGGGATTGGATTGGATTGGATTGGTGCAGCAGCTCCTGGGCGAAACGGGCGTGAGCATTGAACTGGGCACGGACCATGGTTTTGAGCAGGAAGGCATCCATGGGCTCCGCCTGCAGCACCCTGCTCAGGTCCGCTATGGCCGTGGGGTGCCGCCTCAGTCGGTGTGCTGCCAGGCCTGGGGCGCAGAGAGGAGGGCAAGGTCCGGGGGGGCAAGTAAGGTGGCGGATGGGTTGGGAGGGGAAGGCAGAGGCGGGGTGCGGGGAGAGAGAGGAAGGCGGAGGAAGGCGGAGCGACTGGTGGAGGGGGCGGCATAGAGAGGGATGGGCGGGGGTGGGATGCAGGGAGGAAGGGGGTGGAGCGTGGAAGAGCAAGGTGTGAGGGTGAACCGTGAAACAGAGAGAGGGTGGTGCGGGAGGAGGAGAGGCGTGCACGAGGTGGTGATGGTCGGACGAGAGAGGGGGGGGAGGGCAGCTTGCCTCGCCATCGGAGTGCGTCGATGTCGTTGGGGCGCAGGGCGAGCACATGCGAGAAGTCTTCGTACGCCTGCACGGCATGGCACAGTGCGGCACAGAAGAAAATCGTGACAGTACACCATGGCACAGCACAGCACAGCACAGCACAGCACAGCACAGCACAGCACAGCACAGCACAGCACAGCACAGCACAGCATAGCACAGCACAGCATAGCACAGCACAGCACAGCACAGCACAGCACAGCACAGCACAGCACAGCACCGCACCGCAACGTGCAGGGGAAGTGCAGGGGAACAGAGCACAGCACAGCACAGCACAGCACAGCACAGCAGAGCAGAGCAGAGCAGAGCAGAGCACAGCACAGCAGAGCACAGCACAGCGCAGCAGAGCACAGCACAGCACAGCACAGCACAGCACCACAACGTGCAGGGGAAGTGCAGGGGAACAGAGCACAGCACAGCACAGCACAGCACAGCACAGCAGAGCAGTGCAGAGCAGAGCACAGCACAGCAGAGCACAGCAGAGCACAGCAGAGCACAGCACAGCACAGCACAGCACAGCACAGCTAAGCACAGCGCAGCGCAGGCAGCGCAGCAGAGCAGAGCACAGCACAGCAGAGCACAGCACAGCAGAGCACAGCAGAGCACAGCACAGCACAGCACAGCACAGCACAGCGCAGCGCAGCGCAGCAGAACACAGCACAGCACAGCACAGTAGCGCAGAGCAGCAACCGGCGTAAACGACTCCTGGCAAGAATCGAGCAACCACCTGTGTCACCGGAGCTGAGCCACAGTACAGTCATCGCCTTTCTCACTACTCTCTCGCCTTTCCTCTCCCTCCACCAACCCCTCCCTCACCGGCATCCCCACCTCCCCCCTTCCTTACTCCTCCGTACAGTCTCCAATCCTTACTCCTCTTCCTCCCCTCACACACTCACACTCACATACGCACCCCCTCTCCCGCTCTCCCCCTCTCCCCCGCTCCCCCGCTCCCCCGCTCACCTCGTGCATCTTCCCCATGTCGAAGTGCAGCGATCCTCTGCGCTCCCACATGCGCGAGTTGCCTGGGAACCTCGCCACGCCCTGGACATCCATTTTGCAAACGGCAAATCGCTTGGAATTCTCAAACACCAGCTGCTGCAAGTCAGCAGCAAGCAAGCCGCAAGTGTCAAGCACTTCAGTTAGGGTCATCTCTTCCCCCCCACCTTCCTTCCTCTCCCCTCCCTCGCTTTCGCTGCTACCCTGCCTCCCCTTCCCTCCCCCTTCCCTTCCTTCCCCCCTCTAGTTCCCCCCCCTCCCCCCGCCTCTCCCCCTCACCTCGTCTAGGTCTCTTTCCGCCAGTGCGTGTGACTGCAGCAGCGTGTGCGCCCACCCCCTGCCCTGCAGCATGCGCTCCCGCACTGCCATCTCTTGCGCCCCCCATGCGCCTGCACTGCCCGCGGCTGCCCACACCGTCCCCCCTCCCTCCCCCACGTGCGCCACCCGCGAGAACAGCTCCGCCGCCTGCGCCCACTCCCCCGCATCTAGCTGCGCGCACGGCGCAGCGGGGGGGAGCGCAGGTGGGGGGGGAGAGGGGAGGGGCAACGGGAGAATGCAGGAGGATGGGCACAGGGAGCGCGGCGTTGCAAAGGGTGGCACGGGACGAGAGGAGCGGGGACGGTGAATGGAGCCACACGCTTCTATCTATCCCCATGCGACCCTTATTCTCCCCCCTCTCCTCCACCGTCATTCGTCGTCCCCCACATTCGTCTCTTTCGCCGCGTGTGGCGCAATTCACGCACCTGCCGCTCCGCCTCGTCAAGAACGCCAAGATACTCCTGCGCTCTGCCCTCCCCGCCCCCGCCGCTCCCCACGTCGCCCGCCTCACCCTGCCCTTCGCGCGCATCGCACACTGGCGCTGCCCCTGCGCGTGCGCCGGGCTCCTCCGCCTCTCTGCCTTCTGTAGCTCCCTCCTGCCCCGCCGCGCCGCATGTGCGCGGTGGTGCGGAGGCCTGAGACGGCGGTACGCGGGGCAGAGGCGCAACTAGGGCTAGCAGCAGCAGGAGCAGGGGCAGGCCGCGCTGCATGACGCTGATTGCGACTCTTCAACGACTCGCAGCGACTGGCAGATGGCTGATCGCACGAAGGTGTCGCATGGTGGGGGGCCACGCGAGCCAACTTCCCGGTGCGATTGCAGTCTGGCGAGGGCAGATAAATTTTGAGCTGGAAGTTTGAACCAGGTGGATGGAGGGGAGGAGTGAAATGAAGAGCCTGCGTGAATGAGGCGTGCTTCGGTAAAGGGGGCTCCAGGCGAAACCATAAGACATGTGTTTCAAGCCAGCCTCTGCCTTAAACCAAGAAATTAATACTCTTTTCCACATTCTTCCCTAGACTTAGACATTTCAGAACCAATTTGTACATTAAGATGTGACATGCACTCTAGGCAACACTAGGCTTCCTGCCCCTCCTGGCCATCCCCTTGTGCCCATCTAGCAGCATCTTGGCCTTGAGGGGGTTTTGAGTGCGCAGCTCAAGAGGCAGGAAGTCCAAGTCAGTCACCAGTGTCGTGTACTCAACCCACTCCTCCCCTCTCAAACACATACCCCCGACCTGCTGCTGCTGCTGCTTCTCCCACTCTTGCTCACTCCCCCCCATGCCTCTGCCTTCTGCTGCCTCGCTCTCACCAGCCTCTCCTCCCCACCCTGAGGCCCTACCAGCCTTGCAGGTCGGATCGGCAAGCTCTGCAGATTCCACTGCCACATCCCCCCCCAGCAGCGCAAGCCCCCCGGGATCTCCTCCCCCTAACCCACCCTCCAGAATCCCTCTCACCAGCCTCGCGCCCTCCTCCCCTTCCCGCCTATCCACCTGCACCACCCCATACCTCTCTAGAAACCTTTCCCAGAACCCCTCCCCTTGCAGCAGGCCCTCGGAGGCAGTCGCCAGCACGAGCCGTTTCCTCGAGGCCATGGCCACGCGGGCCGCAGCCAGCAGCTGCTGCGCGGTGAGTGGGTCGTGCTGGCGCTGCACGCGCACCATGCACGGCGCATGCAGGTCGCTGGGGTCCGCGCCGCCCGGGTATACGAGCCAGTGCGCGCCGAAGCGCAGCCCGCACGTCATGCGGCACGCGCGGGCGAGCAGGTCCGAGTAGACCAGGCAGAGGAGTCGCACGGCAGGGCTGCTGCTGTGGAGGAGGGATGTGAGGAGGGTGAGCAGAGGCGTGTGTGCACGTGGTGGGGCGAGGGATAGAGAGGGAGATGGTGCGTGCTTGTTGCAAGCGCTGCTGGATGCAACGTTGCTCACTGCTTCCCCAGCGTCATCCCACTCTCCTCCACCTTCCTTCGCTGCTCCGCTTCTACCCTTCGCCCTCCCTCCACTAACTTCTCCCTCCCCACCTCCTGTCTCTTCTCCACCAGTGCCCTTCTCTTCTGAGCAATCAGCTGCCCTGCTTACACTACATTCCTCCATCCCAACTGGTGCAGGGCTGTGAGCCCCCTGCTGCTGCAACCCACACCCTCTCGCACCCACCCACTCCACTGCTGCCGCCACATCACCCTCCGTCACGGGCAGCCGGAACTTTTCGCTGCCCAGGGGCTCCCTGGCAGCGTGGAGGGCACGAGGCACGGAGCAGGGCGGGTGGTGAGGGCAGGCAGAGGCGAGCAGGCGCGGGTGGGCGCAGGGAGATGGAGTCGGCTGCTCCATCGCTTTGCGCTCCACCCGGGCATGCTCTCTACCAGCCTCGCTTGTCCGCGTGCGAGACGCTGCAGGCAGCACCGGACTCTGCTGCTGCTGCTGCTCGCGCGCCTGGGCTGCGGCATGCGAGGCCGCTTCAGCGTCCGGAGCGTCGCCGCGGAGTCGCAGCCGTGCGACGCCTATGGTCGCTGCTGCGGCGAGCTCTTCCTGCGACAGCAGCAGCGGCAGGCCCTTGACCTTGTTCTGCAGCGCGAAGCCCGGGAGGCCGCCCGCCATGGCGCCCACTATCCCGTGCTCCGCGCGGATCCGCTCCGCCGCCGCCACGTCCCACACGTACCCGCCCGACGGGAACGCGTGGACCGTAACGGGACGTGCAGCGGCGACGGTGGGGGGTTGAGGTGGCTGGAGCGATTGCCGTTGCGCTCGTTCTCGCCCGCTCCCCTCCTCAATCGCTTCCGCCTCGCCATTGCTACCTCTCGATTCTCCTGGTACTTCCATTCTGTGTGCCGTCCCGGCTGCAGCGTCCTGCGTGCTGAGCCACTGAGGAAGGCGCTGCACTGCAGCTATACCCCGCTGGAACCTGGACGACCCACTATTGAAGGCCCTCTGTTGCGTGGTCCATACTGTACTTCCGTCCTCAACATCGCAAGGAGCCTCAGGTTTTGCTTTCTCAAGGAAAAGGGGCGTCCCATGCGTCTGGGATTTAGGAACTAGTGGCAAACGTTTCCATTTGGCTGTACGCTGTCATGTGCATCCCTTCCAAAGTACAGCATTTGGGTTTTTGGGATTTCAGCTTTTCTTTCACAAACGTTTACATACTTCTTTCTAATAATGCTCTGTACAGGTGCAGTCCGTATACTGCAATCGAAATCCGCGCTCGAAAAGAATTCAGCACACCACAAACCAGGCTCGGCAGAACCGAGGGGTGGGGTGAACCTCGGGTTCTCCAACCACCGTCGGCGCCGAACCACCCAGCCACACCAACCAACTCCCTTCCTTCTGCCCCTCGCCTTGAACTCAGTTTCCTGGTAGTCCATGGAGGTTGCCACCTCACGCCTGTGAATTCTCCCCCAGCAGAGCAATGCCCAGCTAACTCCGAGGTGAGGGTGCTCCACTCACTCAGACGAAATGGAATGGACTGGGCTAGCCCGTAGTTCAATACTGAAGTGGAATGCATCTACTTGGGCCTGTCGGAACCACGAAATGGCCGACTTTACGGAAACTTGACCTTCGCATGGTGGTTCTAGCTGATGTACTCATTTAACTTATTCCATCAGGCCGTTTCTCATTGGTGGAAAACAGTTCCATTTAATCCGTAAAGGCTGATCCTTCTTTTCGCGAGCTGCTAAGCCGTCCATGTCGATATACGCGTCCCCGTACGACGCATCCGACGATGGCGGCATGCCGGACGAGCTTCCGCGCACCATCAGTCTCGAGCGGTCCTTCGCTGCTCTCTACGGCCTGCAGAACACCCACCAGCAGCCGCAGCCGCAGCAGCAGCAGCAGAGGAAGTTCCGCGGATGGCCCAGGATGGGGTCCTTCTTCGGCTCCTCCAACTCCAATGCATCCACTGAAGCCTCGCGCCGAGGCTCCGCTGCAGGTTCGGCAGCGCAGGCTCGGGAAGCCAACGCGCAACCGACTCTTCAACGGACCGTGTCGCTTCCCAGTCGCGCTGCTGCACTGAAGGCACAGCAGCATCAACAGCAGCATCAACAGCAGCAGCAGCAGCAGCAGCAGCAGCAGCAGCAGCAGGCGCGAAGGAAGCTGCGATCGGCAGAGGAGGAGGAGCGAGAGAGACAGCGACAGATCGAAGAGTTCGGCACTCCTCTCGCTGACGACGTCCCGCCCCCCCCGCCGGTACGCACCCTTCATTACCTCTCATTCCCACCGGTACGAACCACTCCGTACCACCCAACCCCCCCAGTACGGGAATTCAAGGGAGCGGCCCAAGCAAGCACCTGTGCACCCACGTTCATCGCATCCGTTCCTTTGTCTGTCCATGCGTCTGCCTCGTGCGCCCCCCTCTTTCCCCCCCTCACCACTCCCGCCCGCCTCTCTCCTCTCCTCCCCGCCTTTCCCCGCAGGGTTACGAGTACAGCGCGGACCTCTCTCCGGATTCTCCCTGCTCTCCCCCCCTCGCCGTAGCAGCGCCGCCCTCGCCGTCAGACGCGGCGGAGGGCCAGGAGTTTGCGGGGGGACCGGGAGCAGGGTTCGAGAGCGCTAGCAGCAGCAGCTGGGGACGCGGTCAGTTTAGCGCGGATGGAGCAGCAGCAGGGGGAGGGGAGCCGGCGGGGTATCGCCCGCGGGCAGCGCGCGAGTTTAGGCGCACGACGTCGTCGCCCGTGCCCAAGTGCCCGCCTGCGTCCGCGCCTGTGTGCTCGGCGGGCGTGAGAGACCGCCGCCACGCGGCGAGCTTTGGCGGAACGACCTTCGAGGGGCCCTTCAGCAGGGGGGGGGGGGCAGGGGGCGGAGGGAGCATGGGCAGCGGCGGCAGCAGCAGCGGCAGCGCCAGTGGCGCCAGGGGGGACGTTGAAGTGCGCTTTGGCGGCGGGGGCCCTTCGGGCGCAGTGCCTGCTGTCAGCGCCATGAGCGGCGGTGCTGGCGCCATGGGGAGTCCGTCCCGCGCCTCTGCGCCGTTTGTTGCGCCTCCCGCCTCCAGCAGCAAGCCGCCTGCCAGAGCGGGGTTTGGGCGCAGCACGAGTGTCACGCAGCCGCAGGGGAATGCCGGGGACCCCGCTGCTGCTGGCGCAGCGGGCGGCGCTGGCGGCGGCGGGGGTGGTGAGGGGGGAGGGCGGAGGGCGTTCCGCCGTGCAATATCCATGGAGCTGCGGCCGCGCATGCGCGCCAACAGGCCGCCGCTTGTCCTCAACCCGCTGGACGACTCCCCCAGAGCCAGCAGCGGCGCGGGCGCATTCCCCCGGCCCCCCGTTCCATGGACAGCAGCGGACGACCCTTGCTCCCCCTCTGCTCCCCTCCCCGCCCCCCACAAGCAGCCCCATCCATCCCTGCCCCATGCCAACGGCCCCTCCCGCCCGCCCATGCCCTGGCTTCCCCCTGACGACCCATCCCCCCTCTCCGCCTCGTCGTCCCCCTTCGGCCGCCCACCCCCCAGCGGCAACCCCAGCGCCCGCGGGTGGGCGGCGTGGACGCAGGCAGATGAAGCCTCTCCCAGAGCCGCCTTCGCCCCGCCCTACTTCCGCTCCTCCTCGCTCGGAGGCCCCCCCTCCTCCTCCCTGCGCACCCGAGAACTGCCCCCGCCCGCCCCCCCACACGGCGCACACCAGAGCACACATGCAGGGGCGGGCGCGTGGGGTGGGGGAATGGGGGTAGCGGCGGGCGGAGGGTACGAGCCAACGTCCCCCGGCTCCCAGCGGTCGCTAAGTCCCGACTATGCCGAGCAGAGCAAGGTGAGCGCAGGGCGAAGAGGGGCGGGGAATAGTGAGCGCAGGGCGAAGAGGGGCATGGCAAGGTGAGCAGAGGGCGAAGGGCAGCACGACGAGGTGAGCGGAGGATGATGCAGCAAGGTGGGGGGATGGGGTGAGGGCAGGTCAAATGGGAATCGCCTTGTATATGATATCGTCTTGCTGGTTTGAGTGGCCTTCACATCTTTCGCTTTGCCTCTCCTTTTGCTTGTGCTTCTCTCTTCGAAAGTCTGACCTCTCTCCATCCGCCCCTTCCTTGCCATCAGGGGTCGCTGGGCCTGGTGCAGGAGGAGAGGGAGGAGGCGTACGGGGGAGGGGTGAGGGAGGGCGTGAGAGAGAGAGGGAGGAGCAGAGAGGAGTATGGCGGTGGGGGGAGGGGCAGCAGAGAGCCGAGTGGAGAGAGGCGCACAGAGAAGGGCTGGATGCCAGAGAGGGGGGGCGGCAGGGACAGGGGGGGAGGGAGGGGAAGATTCCGGGGGGGCAATTGCAGAAGCCGAGGGAGGGAGGGTGACAGTGGGAGTGAGAGTGAAAGTCGGAGTGAAAGTGAGAGTGGGAGTGGGAGTGGGAGTGGGTCAGGTAGTGAAAGTGACGACGGCATGGCGGGCCGGAGAGGCCATCAGGCGCTTGCGGGTGTGCGGGGTGGGGCACGGATGGTGGGGGATGAGGGGGGGCGGGTGCAGCAAGGCAGAGTGGGCAGGACGGGTGGGGGTAGCGGTGGAGTGGAGGTTGAAAGGGGGCGTGGGGTGGAGGCAGGAGGGGGCGGGGCGTGGGAGGGTGGGCGGTTGGAGGAGGCGGAGGAGAGTCCCCGCGAGGCGACCATGCGGTGCCGGGGGCCCTCCATGCACGCGCTGCTGCGCCGCTCCTCCCACTCGCGCCACCACAGCCTCGACGCCTCCTCCTCCTCCGCCTCGCCCTCCTGCTCCCCCGTGCCCCTCGCCCGCCCCGTCTGCCGCCCCGCCCCCCCTGCCTCCGCACGCAGCCCTGCCAGGGCGGGATGGGGGAGAGCTGCGGGGGGGGCGGACCGGGTGGAGGGGTCGCCTCTGAGGGAGGTGGGTGGCGGAGGGGGCGGGGAGGAGGGAGTCACTCTGGTGCGGGCGAGCACTCTGCATGAGAGCAGCAGCAGCAGCAGGCGCGGTGGCAGCAGTGCGTGGTACACCGACAGGCAGGCAGAGGCAGGGGGGCATGGCAGTGGCAGTGGCAGTGGCAGTGGTGTGGGCAGTGGACATGGCGGAGGGGGCGGGGTTGAGACGGGCGTGCGGGAGGTGAGGAAGGGGCTGGTGCGGTCGGCCAGTGGGGTGGAGGCGAGGCACTGCAGGAACCGCAGTGCGGGAGGGGTGATGAGCATTGGAGCCACCGGCAGCATTGGCGTCGCTGCCAGCATGGGCGCTGGGGCGGTTGAGAGCGCCCAACGACTCGGTGCAGCAGCAGCAGCGCCGCCACCAGCAGCAGCAGGGCCGATGCGGGCAGATCCCCGCAACCCTCGAAGGGGTCTGGTGCGGTCGGCGAGTGGAGTGGAGGCAAGGCACAGGCGGGAGAGGAGTGGAGGAGGCAGCAGCGGTGGCAGTGCGGCAGGGGCAGGCATGGGCTGGCAGCAGGGTGGCGTGGGTTTGGGAGAGAATGCAGGATCGGTGGAGAAGGAGGTGGGGGACCCCAGGAGGGTTCTGGTGCGGGCAAGCAGCGGGGTGGACCCACGGCACAGGAGGCAGAGGAGCAGTGGCAGTGGCAGCACCGGCACTGCTGGCAGCCTTCTCAGCACCTTCTTGTCGCGCCCAGGCGCAGTGGATGCGGGCGGGGCGGCAGACCGGGAGGCTGGTGAGGGGAGGGCGGCGGCAAGCAAGGCGGCGTTTGGGTTGGTGCGCATGGCAACGATGGAGAGGCGGCGAGCCAAAGGGCGAAGCAACTCCGTGGTGGAGGAGATGGCCCACAGCCCCTTCCAGGACCTCTCCTGGGATTAGACCATGGGTCAAATTGAGTTGATCTATTTATGAGGGTGGCTAAATCGGGTGAAGCTCCAGCAGACTTCTTGGTGCTGTATTTTTTTATTTTTATTCTTACGGGACTAGAAAAAAAAATCCTCACAGTTCCATTTATTATTCCTCCATTATAACCTTTGCTGTTGTTCGCTTCACAGTTGGCTTCGTTAGGGCGTGTTCCTACCTTCCTCTTCTCTGACAATCTCCTCTCTTTGCTCGTCTCTTATCTTTACTGGCGCGCAAGTGACGCGAATTGCGTTTGGTCATGCGATCATCCAGTCTTGATTGGCTGCGATTCTGCGGAAGGGCTTGTGTGGCGTCGAGCCGCATGCTCCCTGAGATCCGGGAAAACTACTGCCACGGGCCTGTTCACGAAACTTTTCATCTTCGTGGACAAGCCCTACTTTCAAGCACACCACATCGAAGTTTTGCTTCTCCCGTGGACTCCGTCAATAATTTCGTGGACTCCTTTCTTACTTTGATGGACACACGCATATTCGCAGTTTAAAAGGAGTATACAACGATCTACAAGGAATTACGGGCACAAAAATAGAATTACTCCAGACTATCTGTCCGTCGCAAGTTATCATGACCTACAGTGTCGGAAACCAGTTCGGAAACAGAATCTCGGAGCTTTCTGGGAAGAGTTTGCAACCGCACTCAAATATGCAGTGAGCTTTCGAAAACCTAGTGTATGAGGATCCGCGTGATAAGAACACTTGTTGTTCAAGTTAGAACTAGTCCATAAAAGCGTAATCGAGCCAGCATCAATCAGCAGTTGTTTTATCCTTCATAGTATATTATTTAATTATGAGTAATTATGTGAAATAAAAAATAAAACCAGATAAAGATGTTTTTCAGCAAGTAAATTTCTTATCTTATTCAAAATTTAAATAATATTCCCAAAATTGTTAATATAAAATACTTGTGGTATTATTTTTTGCCAATTGTTATTTTATAATGGAACAAACTTTATTTCTAATAGTATAAATGCCTGAAAACCTCCATTTATAGAGCCATCTATACAAAAAAATACTGATATTCAGAGATTTTACACCTTTATTGAAAATACAAACCGAATGTTTGTTGAAACATTTGGAAATACCAGAGTTTTTTATAATCCAGATTTCTGGTGGGCAGAAATTCCAAGCCATTATCTTGGGACTACTCTGATTTTTACTGAACTCTATTAGCCTTGTAGCCATAATATCTATCTTTATTCTACAACGTGAATCTTTTTCTAGCGAGATTCAGCCTACTCGATCTGCTTTAGTTGTCGTTCAACTAATACCACCTCGTTACAGTCGTTCAAATGAATTTTAAGGATCGTTCAGAATTTCATTAAACACGCGAGACGTCTCGTAGCTTGCAATTTTTGTAGCTTGCGATTATTTGTGACGGACTTAATTACGCCATAATTTTTTTTTGTTCCGTCAGCATCTGTACAGCCTTGTATATTCGTTTTGTTTCAAATTTGCGTGTCTCTATAGAAGTAAGGCTGGAGTCCATGAAAGTATTGACGGAGTCCATGCAATAAGCATAACTTCGATGTGGTGTCCACGAAAGTAGAGCCTGTCCGCGAAATTATGAAAAGTTTCGTGGACAGTCCACGGCGATAAATTTCTCCAGAGATTCGCTGCACCCGATCGGATGTAGCTTGGGGTCCGTTGTTCTGGGCGAATTTTTCGTTTCCCAAGACCTAGCGGTCTCAGGATTCTCGAAACTAAAGACTCTGAAAATTCTCCGCTCCCTGAAATCTCTCTCATTATTTCAGAATTTATTGGTACTTCCAACCTTAAATTCTAAGTGCCTTAAACAAATCAGTAGAACCCGTGGGCAGTTCGAGTACAAGCAGGAAGGACGTAGACGGAAGAAACGATAATAGAGAATACGGAACATACACTTGCCGCTGCTTCCCTCGCCACCACACCAAGTTCGACACTCTGCTTGTCCATCGCGACAGAAATGCATACAACTTAGGTAGAGAGACAGTGCGTAACCTGGTGAAGGTTATATTCTGGGGGTATGATAGGTTTGACAGCCCTGCACATAGGCCGCTGTGAAAGTTCCATGGGTCGCACCTTCAGATTGGGTGGAGAATTGGTCAGGGGTGCGAAGGTAGGGCGGGGGGGTAGGTTGGGGGAGGAGGCTGCAATTCAAGCACGGGTGATTTTCCATACTAGTCGGATGGTCAGGACAATTTTTTTCGCGCAATCCGGGTTGCTCATGAAGTTCCTTGGAAACGTCCGGAATCAGTCAGGAAGTTTGGGAGACTGAAACCCTCAAAATCAGGTTTTTAGCGGGAAAGACCCGGAATGTACCTGACATTCCGGATGTTCACCCTTGAACCAAGAGTCGATTGTCCGTCGCATCGCGTCGCATGAATTTCGCCCATTCGCGCGGGCTACATTCGTCGCACTATCGCCCTCTGCTGCCCAAATTTCAAAGAGCCCACTGCACTGCAGCCAACCACGCCAAAGTGACCTGCCCCCGCCCAACCAGCCCGCAATGCGCAAGGATCCCCATCCCTCCCTCGCCCTTCTTGCCCCCCGCTCACCACGTTCCGGGGGATTCTGCACACGAGATCCGCCAGAGTTTCTCTCCCTCCTCCCCCACATCCGAAAGCGGGGACTAGCAAGACGGGCGGGGGGACGGGCTCTTGGGATTGTGTAGGTTGGGGGGAGGGGGGAGAGGGAAGCCCCCCCTTATTCAAACCCTCCCGTCGCCTGTGTTTGGCGCAGCAGGCCAGCCAACGCAAGGCGACCAAGTCCCGCGGGATGGGGCTGGCCCGCACTCTCCCCTCTAACGGGCATCAGATACAGCACAGTGTTGTACAAACAATGCCCAGCCTTATTGCAGCTCAACCTGGCGCCCAATCAGAATCCGTTCCCAAAACCTCCGATATACGGGCAATGTGATATCCGTTTGAGTCACTCATGATTGCGTCTGCGACCAGCATATAGCAAGGGACAAGTCGTTGACGACGAGGTTTCGTCGCCACGGAACTGTGCACCGCCGTCGCCTGATCGTTTCAGAAGAGTCGCACACTAGCAACAAATATCGCCACACAAGCCCCCCCCCACAAATACCCACCCATTTCGCCGTGTGCTCGTGCGAAAGCCTCATTTTCCCGTGGCGAGGGACAGCGAAATACTTGACCGCTTGAATCCCCGTCATCCTAAAATCTTGTGTGACTCTGACGAGCCTCGTCTGTACATGGCTGGCAGGCACCCTGCAAGACCACGCGAACTGTACTATGTACACATTCTAGGCGCGCGATGCGCCAGGCCAGCAACGATTTCGCAAGGCCCTCTGATTCCCCCACAGACTGATGCAGGCTGAACAAGAGCACACCTTTCTCCAAGGTGTGCCGGCAAAGCTGAACTACAATATACAGCTCAGCACCATCTCCGCTAGGTCAGGTTACGGGAACCGAGGCGGGGCGTGGGAGGAGTAGCACTGCCCGTGCGTACTTCATAGAAATTCGGGTGTCCGAGGCTTCAACCAAGTCAGTTGTCATGTGTTACATCTCATCTCCTCGCCTCGCCTGACGCAGCTCACCTGCTACTCGCAATCTAATGCGATGCCGCAAATTTTCTTACTTTCGTAGGACGAGGTTTGAAAAGCGACGATCGTTGGCGAGAGCTTTTTCATAGAAGCCCCAAACTCCATCCGACTGATAGTAATACTTCGAGAATTCCATACAAACCGTTTCGCGCTGGTTCGTCGTGTCTGTCGCAGCAGCAGCAGTCGGGAGTCGTGACCCCCTCGAATATCCTCCCAGTCGGGCAGCAGCTGCCAGCAGTTGCGTCAAGTAGCGTCAAGTTGGAGCAGGGGATCGGAAGCATGGAGTTTAGATCTACTACCACGGGTAGCACGGCTTTCAACAGTAGCAGCACTTCTAGAGCCAAGCCCGGGATTCAATCCGTCATGGTGGTAGAAGGTACCGCTGCGAGCAGTAAGGCGGCCGTGAGTGCAGCGCGAACCAGCGGGGGCGCAGCGGGCATGGCGGCGAGTTGCGGGAAGCATCGCCAGTTACTGACGTGCGGTCTCGTGCTGCTCGGCGCGCTGCTCCCCGTGTACTTGGGCCTTCACGCCGTGCTCAACAGATCCTCACCGCACGTCGCCGCTTGTAAGCGCATCGCCTAGCCTACTACCTCCCTGCGCCGTGACTACTAGCCTGGAAAGCGTGCCTCTTATCGCTATCGTTGCTATAGTTATCCACATAGCGTGGCCCACTCCGTAGGTCACCGCACCCTCGCTATTAGCGATCTCGCGCACCTTGAAGCCCACGGCCCGAATTGCAAGCCGCCCCGTTCAAACGCAGTGCGTTTGAAGTTGGATGAACAATGCCGCGTAACCAAGCTTGGATTGGCCACTGCCAACTTTCAAGTTGAAGGTGAGCTGCGTACTGGAACTGAGCAAACCAGAGAAACCGGGGCCGTCCGATCTGACAGCCTGCTGATCCGACGATCGATAGCCCAACTTCCTCACATCCGGCGCCACTTCGTTGCCGAAATGCAATCTTAACCGTCGAAACTGTTTCTGCCAGATCTGACGGTGTGCGAAGCGCCAAATCCATTTCACGAGAAGTCACACTCGCGATTTTCTGACTGTTTCGCTAAAACTGTAGCTCATAGTTTCATACGCAGTGCGTATCAACCATTTGGGCCGCGGGTTGAAAGTCAAGTGCGCGTTTCGCTGAATCCCGTCCCCAGTCGCCCACCATCCCATTAGTCGGAATCCCCGTCTCTTTCCCCCGCTCCCTTCCGCCCACCGTCCGCCGACCCCCTTGAGCTGCGCCCCCGACCGCAGTGATCGGCGAGCCCCTGATGTGGCTGTACCGCCCGCAGTGGGCGGTGCCGCAGCAGATTGGAGTAGCAAGGCTGCTTACAGCGGAGCAGCAGGTCGGGAGCGCGGAGGAGGGGGGAGCAGACCACGTGGCGGGGATAGCGCGGAACGAGACGGGGAAAGAGGCGCGCGCGGAGGCAAAGCGGGCGCCAGCGTGTGGGGAAGAGGAGGGGGTGGAGGGGGAGTGCGGGGTGGAGGAGGAGGAGCGGGCGGGGGAGGGGTGGCACTTCAACAACGCGGCGAGGTTTGGGCGAGTGGAGGTGGAAGGGGCAGGGGCGGAGCGGGCTCTCGCCAACCAGCGCACGTGCTTCTCCGTCACAGGTGTGGCTGGGAAGGGGGGTGCGTGGTTCGCTGCTGCAGTTGGTAAATGGAAGTGGGGGTGGCTGTATACCAGGGGGGGGACTGGAGCTTGGGTGACTCTCCGTATTGGTTGGGACTGGAACGGCGGAGAGATTGGCATGGATGGGGTGAAATGAAGGGAGCGGCGGATGCTTTACTGCTGCCACTCGGGGGTAGACAAGTGGGGAGTGCTGCTTCTAAGGCACAGTGGATTCGGGAGGAGGGTGAGGCATGCTTCATGTGAGAGCAGTGGGAGTGAGGGTTCGCCTGACAAGTTAGGGCACGATGCCCATCCAACGCGAGTACGCACCATCACCGCACTTCTCACCATCACCGCTCACTGCATCATGAATGCACGTCCTGTCGCCATCTAATCTTGTGCTCCGGTGGTCGCATTCTTGCTGCTGTTGCTGCTGTGGCTGGTCTGCCTGGTGTGCCTGGTGTTGCAGCACTCGATGAAGCTGGGGAGCCGTTCGATGCTGCCTGCAGGTGCTGTGCCCCTCACACCTCGTCCTCTCCCCCTCGATTTCCTCACTCTCTCTCTCTCTCCCTCTCCCAGTCCCCCCCCATCCACTCTCCCTCCCTGTATCTCTCCCTACCTCCCTTCTCCCCTTCCCTTTTCTCCAATCAACCCTCTGTCTTGCCCTCTGCTCCTCCACTCCCACCCACTCCCCATATCCATTGATCCCCCGTTCCATCCTCGCTCCACCACTCACCGCTGCCTCGTCGCCTGCCGCCCCAATCTCATGCAAGCGCCCCACCCCCCGGCATTGTATGTGATTTTAAGTTGGCTAAAATGTCCCCGCCCCCCTGCACCTTCCCCCCCCCCCCCCCCTCCCCCCTCTCTCTGGTGCAGGCAGCGCGCGTTCTTCGTGGTGCTGCTCGCCTTCGACACCCAAGCCAACTTCTCGGCGCACCAACGCACTACCAACTCCTCTCACCTCGCCCGCTCACTCCTCAACACCACCAACGACACCAGCGCTGGCAGCAGCAGCAGCAGTGGCAGTGCAGAGGGTGGGGCGGACGGGGCAGGAGGGGGGGAAGCGGTGATGCAGTCGGCACGAGTGACGGAGGCGCCATCATGGGATGACTCTCTCAACGGGTGGACTGACCTGCGCATGGCCGCTCAAGTCAAGTACCAACGCTCTTCGTCCTCCCACCAGGTGCGGCATTGCGCTCGCTTTCTCTCTGCCTGTTCACCGTTACATCCTTATCTACGCCTCTACCTCCTTCCTTCCTCTCCCTTCCATCCTCTGCCAGCTACCCGCCCGTCTCTCTTTCCAAATTCCACCTACTGTCTCTCTCCACTGCCCTTCTGCTGCCTCGTTTCCCACCCAAACCCCCACCACTCTCCCCCCCCCACCCTCCGCTTTTGTGCGTCTCTGTGCGTCTCTCTGTGCCTCTGTATGTCTCTGTGCGTCTCTGTGCGTCTCTCTGTCTCTGTGCGGCTCTCTGTGTGCGCACCCCAGGTGTGCTACACAGCGCCCTTCCCTGGCCCGTACGTGCTCTCCATCCATCTGCTCTTCAACAACGCCTTTCAGCTGCGCAACTTCCTCAACGGCTCCTACAACAAAGCATTCCACCGGTACCTCACCCCCTCTGCCCTCTACCCTCTGCCCTCTGCCCTCTGCCCTCTGCCCTCTGCCCTCTGCCCTCTGCCCTCTGCCCTCTGCCCTCTGCCCTCTGCCCTCTGCCCTCTGCCCTCTGCCCTCTGCCCTCTGCCCTCTGCCCTCTGCCCTCTGCCCTCTGCCCTCTGCCCTCTGCCCTCTGCCCTCTGCCCTCTGCTCTCTGCCCTCTGCTCTCTGCCCTCTGCCCTCTGCCCTCTGCCCTCTGCCCTCTGCCCTCTGCCCTCTGCCCTCTGCCCTCTGCCCTCTGCCCTCTGCCCTCTGCCCTCTGCCCTCTGCCCTCTGCCCTCTGCCCTCTGCCCTCTGCCCTCTGCCCTCTGCCCTCTGCCCTCTGCCCTCTGCCCTCTGCCCTCTGCCCTCTGCCCTCTGCCCTCTGCTCTCTGCCCTCTGCTCTCTGCCCTCTGCCCTCTGCCCTCTGCCCTCTGCCCTCTGCCCTCTGCCCTCTGCCCTCTGCCCTCTGCCCTCTGCCCTCTGCCCTCTGCCCTCTGCCCTCTGCCCTCTGCCCTCTGCCCTCTGCCCTCTGCCCTCTGCCCTCTGCCCTCTGCCCTCTGCCCTCTGCCCTCTGCCCTCTGCCCTCTGCCCTCTGCCCTCTGCCCTCTGCCCTCTGCCTCTCCTCTGCCCTCTGCCCTCTGCCCTCTGCCCTCTGCCCTCTGCCCTCTGCCCTCTGCCCTCTGCCCTCTGCCCTCTGCCCTCTGCCCTCTGCCCTCTGCCCTCTGCCCTCTGCCCTCTGCCCTCTGCCTCTGCCCTCTGCCCTCTGCCCTCTGCCCTCTGCCCTCTGCCCTCTGCCCCTCTGCCCTCTGCCCTCTGCCCTCTGCCCTCTGCCCTCTGCCCTCTGCCCTCTGCCCTCTGCCCTCTGCCCTCTGCCCTCTGCCCTCTGCCCTCTGCCCTCTGCCCTCTGCCCTCTGCCCTCTGCCCCTCTGCCCTCTGCCCTCTGCCCTCTGCCCTCTGCCCTCTGCCCTCTGCCCTCTGCCCTCTGCCCTCTGCCCTCTGCCTCCTCTGCCCTCTGCCCTCTGCCCTCTGCCCCTCTGCCCTCTGCCCTCTGCCCCCTCTGCCCTCTGCCCTCTGCCCTCTGCCCTCTGCCCTCTGCCCTCTGCCCTCTGCCCTCTGCCCTCTGCCCTCTGCCCTCTGCCCTCTGCCCTCTGCCCTCTGCCCTCTGCCCTCTGCCCTCTGCCCTCGCCCCATGCCTGCACCGGGCCGGATCAAAGACGCCTGGCGATTCATCCGGGCGTGCATGTTTCATGTGTGCATGCTGGCACTGCGGCGTTTCAGCAGTCACGCGAAAACGCATGGCCCCGGGCATGCACTCGCACGATCGAACACTCACTCCTTCTCTCGCATATGCACACACTTCCCTATCCGTTCTTGCCTCCGCCTTCCCCCAATCTCCTACCTGTCATACTACAACCCCGACTCCTCTTCTTCTCACCCCTCCCTCCCTCCCTCCCTCCCTCCCTCCCTCCCTCCCTCCCTCCCTCCCTCCCTCCATCCTCGCCCACAACCAACCATGGCACCTCTGTCAGCTATCCAGTGGTGGCCTTGCGCAATCTGCATGTCGCCAGCCCTCCGCGCTACTTCCCACGCGCGTTTAGGTAAGTGCTATGTCCGACCTTTAACGGCTTGCATATGCGAAGGGAAGCTAGTCTAAGAAAAGTAGCTCACCACAGCTCACACTTTCTCCTAGGCATACAAGGTCACAGACAGCACCACGCCATCTCCCTGCCTTGTACCGTCTCCCTGCTGTGTCGTCTCCCTGTCTTGTGCCGTCTCCCTGCCTTGTGTCGTCTCCCTGCCTTGTGTCGTCTCCCTGCCTTGTGTTGTCTCCCTGCCTTGTGTCGTCTCCCTGCCTTGTGTCGTCTCCCTGCCTTGTGCCGTCTCCCTGCCTTGTGTCGTCTCCCTGCCTTGTGTCGTCTCCCTGCCTTGTGTCGTCTCCCTGCCTTGTGTCGTCTCCCTGCCTTGTGTCGTCTCCCTGCCTTGTGTCGTCTCCCTGCCTTGTGTCGTCTCCCTGCCTTGTGTCGTCTCCCTGCCTTGTGTCGTCGCCCTGCCTTGTGCCGTCTCCCTGCTGCGCTGCTCCCTGCTGAGCAGGCACAAGCTCCCGCGGTGCACGCCTGCCCTGCTGCGAGCGTCAGGCAACGAGGGGTACTGGGCGGAGCAGCAGTGGCGGCCGCACGCGTGCCGCCTGCACGCCGTGCAGCCGCAGGATGCGCGCAAGTGCTTCCACCGCAAACAACGCGTGCTTCTCATGGGTATGGGGTGCTGCTCATGGGTATGGGGTGCTGCTCATGGGTATGGGGTGCTGCTCATGGGTATGCTGTTTTCCTTGAAGCCCCTCTTTTGCGCAAACCCCTCCATCCCCCATACCCCCCTCCATTCTTCCCCCCTCCTCCTCCTCCCCCCTCCCCCCCCCTCACCCCCACCTGGTCTGTGCTCTGCTGGTGGCGCCAGGTGACTCGCAGATGCGCTACTTCTTTGGCTTCCTGCTGCCGTTCCTCTCTGCGGACTCACGCACGGCCTTCACAGACACGGAGAAGGCCAACATGATGGCAAGCATCTTGCATCGCTGCCTGCATCGCTGCCTGCATCGTTGCCTGCATCGCTGCCTGCATCGCTGCCTGCATCGCTGCCTGCATCGCTGCCTGCATCGCTCCCTGCATCGCTCCCTGCATCACTCCCTCTGCATCACTCCCTGCATCGCACCTACTCAACTCCGCACACGCTGTGTTATCGCGCATGTGTATAGTCCGTTCTGCTCCCTTTGTCTGCCACCCACCCACCCGCTGTCTGCCCAGCCCACACTCACTCCCAGCTCTTTGCCACAAGTCCACCTCTCCAACAGTTCCTCCCTCGTCTGTCCGCCGGTGCGCCTGTCCGTGTGTCCCCCACCCTGCAGGGCTTCCACGGGTTTCACGGCTTCCCCAAGGAATTCAGCCCCTTCAACGAGAGCAACAATGGCAGCAGCGTGAGGAGGGTGTATCACACGCCCGTGCGCTTACCCCTCCCAGTTGACACCTTCTACGGCTCACTCTACAATGGGTTCACACACAAGAAGTGAGCAGGGGGTGGTAGGCCAGACGTGGGGGAAATGTAAATCACTGTCGGGTAAACAGCTAATGAGGGGAGGGGGAAGCATGTTGAGTGCGCAGCAGACGGCTGCCGCGGCATGCCATGCCAGGAACGTCTCTCTCGTCTTCCATGTTGTCCATCTCTGGTCTTGCGATTCACATGCCCACTGTGTGCATATACATCCCGCATGGCATCTCCCAGGTTCAACTTCACCAAGGACGGCAGGGCCTGTGTGTTCAACCTGACATATGTGTCGCACATGGGGTCGAGCTGGGAGTTCCTGCCCGCCTGGATGTTCAACGCGAGTCTCACGGGGGGCGAGGTGGTGAGGCAAGACGGCCGGCCGTTCGGCCTCGTTGCGTTCGGCTCCACCCTGCATGACCTCATCACGCTGAACTCAACACGGGACTACAGAAGTGTGGCATGTGAGTGGACACACACACCGCTGCTATGCGTGCGTGGTAACCATATCAAGAGCGTCTCCAGCTTCTTGTGTGGCATTCGTTTGGGGCTATTGCGCTTCCGTTCATCCCACACTCGTGCTTCCACTTTCCACCCCCCTCCCAGGCTCGCAGCTGCTGCCTGCCATACGGCGGCACTTCGGCCCCTCACGGGTGACGCTCTTTGGGCCGTGGGCGGCCAGGGAGGACACGAAGCCTGTCTGGCTGCGCTACAAGAGCAACAACGTTCGTGGCATGGCGTTCGAGGAGCAGGCTGCCAGGTGGGTGCTGCTCGAGACCAGGCTGACATGGCCATTCTGCAATTGAATGTGATGCTTCCAGTGTGGTGTGGACTCATGCTGTGTTCTGCCACCTCATGCTGGCATTTGTTGGCTGTTTTCCATGTCAGGTTACTGCCACTCCAAGGATTCGAGAGATTTGTTCCAATGACCCCTGTCACACTTCCTCGACCTGACCTGTCGCCTGACAGCACACATTATTCGTGGTTAGTAACTCTTGCCATGCTAGATATTTGGTATACCACCGCTTGCTTGTAGATATGACAATCCCCATTCTGGTTGAAGTAGAAAGAAACTTTAGGTAGACATTTTCATACCTTTCTGGTAACGTCAAGCACCTTTCTGCTCTGAAAGACGTTTTCCTGAAAGACGTCAGGGCGTGTCCGAACAGAACGTTCTGGCATCAACTCGGGATTCAGTTACCCGATTACCACGTGTATCTGTACCTCAAAACTGTTAACGCGGACACGAACACCGTCGTCGCCGTGTTTGACGGAATTCGGGATTCAGTTACCCGATTTCCACGGTCGTTGACGTACCGCGGGACGCGAATCCAGCTTTGGGTCACACAACTGAGGGTACACCGCGTGGTACGAATCACGTCCGCCGAATCAGGATACCCTAAAACGAGTTTCGCGAATCAACGTTCGCAACAGAGGCTCACGAATATCGCGGAGGACACAACCCCTGATTCGGCGATTTCTGTAACTTCTGGTCACATCGCCAACTTTGTGTGTCAATTTGGTCCTGCAGGAGAATTGTGTTCGCGAGGCATTTATCGCGCGCCAGCAGTGACGTGGCGCTACGTGGACACATTCGGGATGCTGGTATACCCACGCAGCTGTTTGCAAAAATGTTCAGATACAGTCAAAACGCCAAAACGTCCTCTTCGGACACACCCTTATGGAGACACCTACGAATGAACAGCTGCATTTCTGAAGATGTCATGCAACATGAGAAAAAGCTACCAGTCACGCAACGTTCCTACAGGGTACAGCAGGCTCTGGCAAAATTGAGAGGTTGCGTTTACAAACCGTGACGACGTAACGCTCACTCCCCCGTATAAAGCCATGCTTTTCAACAATAGCTCTTACTATGCACCTCACTAGTTATTGCATGTCCCGTTATAGAATGGTACAGAATGTGCCAATATGTTTCTTGCAGGCTATCACAACCTGGCAGGCCATGTACGTAATGTGACTATCCAGAACGGGGTACAAAGGTCATTTTTACGTGAGGGTGGTCTGGATGAGGAGACGAGCAATCACGTAGGGATCAGCATTGGCCGCCGGGCGCCTGTCCTCGAGGTAGCCCTTACCCTCCAGCGAAACACCAAGAGGAATTCGGATGGAGGAGCCACGGTCAGCAACACCAGACCTGCAGTAAGAGGGCAATAATGCAGATGTCAAGAAACACGTTGTTAGAGCAGGAGTTACAAGATGGCAGGACGTGAAACTGAGGAAATGGCAGTTACCTGAAGGTGTTGATGTTGGCAGTCTCGTGCTTGCCAGTCAGCCTCTTCTCATTGCCAAGGCCGTAGTTGGAGATGTGCTCATAATGCCTCTTCGACAGCTTCTCAATGGCTTCCTCAATGGCCTGTACATTTGTCCCGATGTTCAATGTCACGTTTCTTAAAAATTCTCAGCGGCAAAGCCATGCTTGCTGCAGACTTACCTTGATGCCACCCTCCTCGCGCATGGCCTTGGTAGAGTAGTTGGTGTGTGCACCAGTGCCGTTCCAGTCGCCTTGCATGGGCTTGGGGTCGAGGGTCACGACAATGCCGAAATCCTCACCAAGCCTGCACGATGCGCAGACATGCAGTGCGTCGTATCAGGGTTGGATGCTGACGAACATCGTAAATGTCTCATTAAAACTAGTGCGCACCTGTTCAGGAGCCACCGGGCGACCATGACGTGGTCGCCGACCTCAAGAGGACCGGCAGGACCAATCTGGAACTCCCACTGTCCGGGCATGACCTCAGCGTTGATACCGCTGATCTTCAGGCCAGACTGCAATGGGACCGGGTGCAAGGCATGTTACGCTTTTGAGGTCGATGTTCCATGACTCTGCGAATGCAACAGCATGACGAAATACGGCTAACCATGTCGCACCTTGATGCACGCATCCATATGTGCCTCAGCCAGAGGACGACCGTAGACGGCTTCGAGACCAACACCACAGTAGAAAGGACCCTGGAACGAGCGTAAACAAAGCCGAGATGAGAACCATGGTAGGTCACGGCGATTGATGGATGTACTTTGACGTAGTAGAGCAAGAAACTGAACGAGCATTACCTGAGGATCGGGGTAGCCGATCTCGGGCCAGCCGTAGACACGCCCCGTCCTGCCGAACATGGTATACTCCTGCTCGAAACCGAACCAGGTATCGGCTTCCAGGATCTCAGGGTTGATAAGATCCTGCAGCTTGCGGCGAGTGTTGGTGGCGTGAGGGGTGCTATCAGGGTTCAGCACTTCGCAGAGGACAAGCACATCATTGCCACCGCGAATGGGATCCGGGCAAGTGTACACAGGGCGAAGGATGCAGTCGGAGCTGTGGCCCTCGGCTTGACCAGTGCTGCATTGTTAGAAAGCACACACCTTAAATTCCATCTGAAGCATTTCATTTGGATGCGACAACGCGGTCAACGGCGGATGAATTGTTAGCTCACCTGGAGCCATCGAAGGACCAGTCGGGGAAGTTAAGGGATCCAATCTCACGAGGATCCTGAAGCACCTTGGTCTTGGAGCGCATCTCGTTAAACTTCAGGCCCTTGGTGCCTTCCAGGCCATCCATCCAGATGTACTCGGCCCTCTGTGCGAGGGCTTGCACGGAGAAACCGCCAACCTGGGAACCGGTTACGCATGCGTTAGAGTGCCTCCAGAACAACCACGGAATCTCAAGAGTAGGTGTGAAGTTAAGCTATGGAAAACTGGTTACCTTGCGGCGCTGAACCCTGACGAAGGACTTGACATTAGCCTTCAGCTCATTGTTGCCAGCAAGGGACCCGCAAACGGGAACACCGACGATCTGCCAGATATCAAGACAGCAATAACTAAAACCCCGAAGTAAAGAAATACGAAGACAGAGAAAATGCGCTCCAGTATCTCTACCTGAGAAGAGAGCTTTGAGGCACGCTGGCCGCCAAGCTTGGCAGCACCAGTGGAAGGCAGGGTAGCCTGGAAGGTGGCGGTAGCCATGGCAGCAGCGTGCCCAGATCTTGTCCGACCAGGAAAAATGTGAATGCAAGGGCCGAGTGAGGAAAATGGGAAAGGAAATGGCCACCAACAAAGACCCTAGGCCCTGACGAACTAGCCTTCGTCAGGAGAAGTGGATACGACCGTAGATCTTCCCTGAAAGGTTCAGGAACGGCTGGGATGTGGAGCCGAGAAAATCGCAGGAATCATATGGGACTGATGTCCAATCAGAACACACAGAAGAAAACACAAAGTCGCCTCACGTGGATATCGCCAGGGCAAAACAGCCTCAGGTTGGCTATTAGTGGGCAAGACTGCCACGTGAGCCTACACGTCGGATGGATGACGAGCCAATCCAGCTATGTGGACCCCCTGGACGCTCGACCTCTCAACTCACGAAGGACGATACAACCAGCCCAGCGGCAGCAGAGCCAATCGCATAACACATCGCAAAAATATTGCACCCGTTAGCATCATAAATAGATGTGCAATTACACTTTTGCAACGTAGAAGCTATTTGGGTTGCTTAGCAGCAACCCCTTACAAACGTTCTGATCACTTTTAGAGGGTAGTTGGTCCGCATAAGAAATGGTCCCAAACTGTAGGCTTTTTTGTTTGTTTGTTTGTATGCATATAATCAACCCGAATGATGTTTGCCGAGCCCCTATATTTTGCAGTAGACGAACACGTGCATTTTCTCAGAGTTTGAACAAATGACTAGAATGAGAGAATAAAGGAGTATAAAGCTAGTAGGTTGTACTCTCTATAGCAAGACCCTATTTAGTCTACTAAACATACAAAAATATGTTTGACACACCCCTGTTAAACATATCTAGGTATGTTAGTATAGACAATATTGGTTTATGCTGTAAAGGGTACAACACTTTATGCTATATATCCCTGTACTCTCTCTTTCTAGTCATTATTCAGTTCTAAGATGGTATCAGCAGTAGGTAGTGTTAAAGTAAGAGCTGAATGATTGACTAGAAGTTGAAACCTAGAACAAATACAGTGGCGGATTAAATTGCCCGGATGTTTAACACTTTGAAACGTATCGTTATGCAACACATGTTTCGAAAATAGTAACACCCGTTTTTTTCCATTCTGTTACTCGGTTTTTGAGTTCTGCTTCATCCGTTTCTTGCTTGGCGCGATTGTGACACTAACGGAAAGTGGGGTTGAAATTTACTACTCGACTGTCGATGTGGACATTTCCTACCGAGCGGAAGAGTAGATCTATTTTCCCCCGTCGCTCAGTGTGTACATCGTCACGCGCACCAGTTCCTAGCTTAGTTGTTAGTCCGGAAGCGAGCCTACGACCGCATCGCTATGAAGCCGTTAAATGAGAAGAAGCGCGCGAGGATCAGAAGCATGTTGCGTGCGGGGCATTCGACTAGGAAAATAGGGAAACTTCTTGGCATAGGCAAGAGCACCGTGCACGATTACGGTATGAAACTCGCTGAGGAGACTAGTCGCGAGGAGGTGCGACCTACGATGCCTTCGGCCGGCCGCCCCCGCTTAATCACAACCCGTCTCCAGCGCGGAGTTATACGTGCGATTACTAGCGGCGAGGCGAAAAGCTCTTCAGACGCGGCCAAGATGTTGTTGGAGAAGCACGATCTCGCCGTAGACTCGAAGACGGTCCGCAACTCTTTACGATCCGCGGGGCTGATCGCCGTGCATCAGCCCAAGAAACCCAGGCTCTCACCGAAAAACATCCGCGATCGTCTCGACTTCGCGCGGGCGCATGCCGACTGGACGCTGGAGGACTGGAAGCGGGTGATTTGGTCTGACGAGACGAAGATTAACCGCTACTGCTCCGACGGACGTGCGTACGCCTGGATTCGCGAGGGCACCAGCCTTCGGAGCCACCAAGTCCAACAGACAGTTAAGCATGGGGGCGGTTCTGTGATGGTGTGGGGTTGCATGACGTATGAGGGGGCGGGGTTCATGTGCAAGATAGATGGCAGGATGGATGGGCCGCTGTATCGCAGCATCTTGCAAGATGAGCTCAAACAGACCATCGATTTTTTCAAGCTTTCCCCCTCAGAGGTCATTTTCCAGCACGACAATGATCCCAAGCACAGGTGTCGTCTGGTCCAAGACTGGCTTGGGGAGCAGGAGTACGCGGTGCTGGAATGGCCGTCGTGCTCCCCGGACCTTAACCCAATTGAGCACCTGTGGGCATACTTGAAAAGGCAGCTGGGGAAGTACGAAAAGCCGCCAAGGGGAATGCTGGAGCTGTGGGAGAGGGTGCAGGAGGAATGGGACAAGATACCGTCGGAGGTGTGTGCAAACCTGATCGACAGCCTGCCGAGGAGGATCAAGGCAGTGATTCGGGCAAAGGGACGCTGGACTAGGTACTAGTTTTCCTAGAATCTAGTGTGATACCATTTTCCGGTACAAATTGTCCACATGTTCTCCCATGCTATGCTTAGGAGTTTAAGGACCATGTGTGGTACTACTTTGGTGTTTGAACACTGGAGTGACTGCTCTAACTGAACTTCTCAGCGTTAATGCACACCGTACATTAAGGCTTAATGTATACGCCTCTGCACTCATAAAAATGCCAAAAAAGGCAAAACATGTGGACAATTTAATCCGCCACTGTACTAGTTGGTTGTACTCACTAGAAGCATACCTTAGTCTATCCTATAACTTCTACATAGCTAATATGTATAAGTTGACACACCCCCTGGACTAGACAAGGGGTGAAGCTAAGCAAGAAGCAAACAGCTCAGGGTGGCACTACTAGTCCAACCACTGAGGCAGGGGTCTAGAGACCAGTTAGCAAGAATACAAACAAAACTAAAGCAAGCCA